ACGGGCGGAGAATACGTACGATAAATTAAATTACTGTTTGATTGTTTTTATTCCTTCAAAGTGACAGTGATCGTCACAAAGTGGTCTGCTGCAAGTAGAAACAATGTGGCCACCCCTGTTTGTGAATGGGGCGGTTACAACGGTCTCGGTGTTACATAAGCTAACTACTTGCGATTGGTTATCTGCCAAACCCGACTCTCAGGAAAAAATTTTCATTGTGGAAACGTTTTTTCATAAGTGCGTTATAGAAGGAAGGGAAACGCTTTGTAACTTCACGTGGTATCTCTTTAATCACCAAACGTTTCTCCCTTCTTATCGTCGCTCTGCCTGAAACGTGCTCGGATATTGTAAGGAAAAATTCCTTTTTGGTCCTATCTGAGAATGAAAGGTTTAAACTAGGACGATTAATCGATCACTTGGGCGGATAAACATAAGAGGAGAGAATAATCCAGTTAGGACGTTAATCAAGTACCCATTAAATCTTGTTGGTGATCCACGAGTGCATTGGTTTTTCTCACCCGCGCACTGTGATTCCTTCCGAAAACTCGCTTCAAACCTCTCTACCAATCAGATAAGCAAAGCTGTTAATTATCTTTGGCAGCTTAGTAATTCGCGTTTTCGCGCTCTTTTAAATATTGCCTTGCTTTACTTTCCAAGTTTCTCATCGGCTCCTCGTGACAGTTTCACTTACTCTGACTGACTGGTGTCATAAAATAGGTTTTGGGTTTACGAAACTAAATCGAAAAGCGCTCTACACCTCGTGGCTAACGACGGTCTGGGGCTAGGCCATGCAACTCGGCATCCCCCCCCCCCCCCCCCCCCCCCCCCCTCTCTTCCAGCCTACTCTCCTGACTAAGAATGAACGAAGATGATTATAAATGTCTTACATTCATGGAAAAGATTAGTAAGGAGTAAGGACAAAAGAGAAAACCTAAATCTTGTAACAGTTTCCGTAGCAGAAGGTCGCACTTGAGATGTATCAGTGGAAGTAAGCCGTGAAAAGAGGTCGAGGGAAAGAGTTCGAGGCTTGTAAGTAAACCTCTTGGGACAGATAATATAAAACCAACAAATCTCGTTATTTTGAACTGCGTCTTTGAAATCCGCTAATCGCGAGAGAAATCGACAAGCAGAGCAGGTCAAGCAGCCCACGCAGTCGAGGCCTAAGGAAGTCCCCGCGGTTTTAGGAGTTTGACGGGAAAGTTTTTCGGAGAGTGAACACGCATGAATCGCCTAGAAATATCGACACTCGTGTTAAATGGGAGGCTGGTCTACAGCAGTTTTCTCTGGTAGCTTACTGGTTTCCTTTGACGTTCCTGGGTAGCTTACAACAGGGGCGCCACTTTTTGCGTTTTTCGATAACGACTGCGAGCTTGACTCCAGCGTTAGTGAAAACCAACCACAAGAATAAAATCCGTATAATAGCCACGACCTTTTGATCCTGAACCCAGCACGTCCACTGACCACCAGGTCATCGCCAGTCTGAAAGTTGAAGCATTACTACAACCCTGATCTTAATGTTACTGGCATAATAATAACAATAATAATAATAATAATAATAATAATAATAATAGTCTTGCTTTATTGAGGTTAACAGGAAAAATGTCACAATATAATCTGCATGTGACCCACGTGAAAACAACAGCAATATTTGAATATTTTCAGTTTCATGGGGTGCTGACAGTCAGAGCCAAAAAGTTTCAGAGCGCATAACTGGATGACAAGAGAGAGGATTACATAAAGACCCTTTTTGGGGGGGCGGGAGGTGGGGGATCTTGCCCTATCTGGACATTGATGTTAATCCTCAACTTGACCTCTTTTTTAAGCGACACTGCAGTTTAAGAAAATGAACGTGAAAATAAATGTATAACTAATCAGTGCACAGACCAACTTAGTGTGATAGCTCTGGTTATGCACACCTTCCAAAAAAGAATTCAAGCTAAGAAGGGGAAAACCCTGTCATTATGACAGTCAGGTGCAAATTCCACATTCCACATGGGCAATTGAAAATTTATTACCACAAATATTAGACTGCACTAAAAATTTAATTTGAGTCCAAAAAAATCACTTAGATTGTTTCTTCTAAATTTCGGCCGGCCAAGTAAGCTATCTTCATGTACAGCGCGTATTTTACGCCGTAAATTTGTGACCGGAAATACTAACTCGTTATGCAATGTGGAATCAGAGATAACGTGAAAGTCTTCAAAAAGGAAGACATATTTTTTAAACAAAAAATGATAGAGTATGATTGTTCGCTTTCGTTGAGGCTCGGAGTCTAATTAATTTTTTGTCCGAGTTTTTTGACAGGATGACACTTTGATAATTTCATCAGTTGCGCAAGTCCTAGGTAAGTGTAATTTCGAAAACCCCTTCAAACATCACGAGTGACAGTACATCACAAAAAGCACGAGCAATTCATGAGAATTTTCATTTTCTACACAAAATCACTTCTTCCTCGAAACACTTTTCAACGGTTTGGAAAATGCTTGTGTGATCAATAGAGCGCAGTTTATCAGTTTACTGACCTACTAACCCACGCGGGGTGTTAAAAGAACACTTGCAAAGTTTGTAAATTATAAGCCGGATATTTTCTTGAAATAACCTCAAAAAAAACTCAGTGTGTTTCAATTAGTTTGTATAGGGAGCTTGTTGTATCCATTTTTTTTAATAATTAAATTTGTTATTGACGGTAATTTTCTTTCAATAATGGTCTATGACAGAAAAACCAAGCGTTTCTTTCCTAGTATTCTAAAAATAAACTTGTCCACGAAAACTGAAATTTCCAAAGAAAGAAATATGAATATCTCGTATTGATTTATGCATACACAGGCTCAACACTGAATGTTTAGGATTTCGCACTTGAGAAGTGTCTAGTACCCAGCTCCTGCTGGATATACTTTTGTACGTGTCAATGTTACGGTGAACGGTCATTAGAAGCGGTAACTTTTTATATTTATAGCCTACGTCACGGTACCACTCCTCGTCGTTTTGTTTACGAAAGCGAGGGGGCGTTACGTGAGAGCACCGATATGAATGACAAATGACGAATTAAAATATCCGAGACTTCACGAAACGGCGATGCCTTCATTTTTTAAACCACGAGACCCGTGCCGGCTACCTACGTGCGCGTAGGTTGCTATACTTCTGCCATAGTCAGCACTTCGACACGGCTTCGCGGAAAATTCCGAAACTGTGGCACCCATGCATTGAAAGTGTGCGAGACGTTCACGCTTGCGGCGGCTACCTCCCACTGGTCGGGTTTGCTTGTTACAAGATACAAGAATGTTCGTTACTCTTTTCAAGAGATAAAGACTTCCATCTGCTTTGGTGGAATGAAAAGTTATGTAGCGTTCGAGGTCGTCAGTAAATACTGGAACCTTAGAGTTACAGCACGGATCATTCAGATTGTAGTGCTTTGCTGTGGTAGTTCTTATTTTAGAAATCACCTGATATGATAACTTTTTTCGTTAATGACTACTTTTCGGAATTCTTGTACGATAGGCACAATATACGCGCAAACACGAGCGTATTCTTCTGCAATCTCGACAAAGTTAGTGTTCCGACAGCCTGCGGGCCTATATTATTACGTATTCATATTTTGTCTTGTTGTTTTTTTTTGCGGTAGATTTTCTGATTGTTTAACTTGCTAATTTCAGTGTTTTTGAAAACAAAGGCCAAATGTGAACGTATGCAAAACCTTACACCATAACTCACGCATTCTGGTGTGAAAACCAGCGCCTTATCGCTGAGTTGATTCGCACAAGGACAAAAATCAAATTAGCAATCTTCCGGAGATCGTGTTTCAATTCAACCGGTATTTTTCCCCGGATTGGAGCCAATATTTTGAACACGAAAAGGGCAACAGATTCAATGCAAGGCGATCAAGCATGCAATGATTGGAGGAATAAATAGTTTAATTTGATTTAATTGTGTGGTGAGACGATGTTTTGAAACAGTCTGCGATCAAAAACAGAAGACTCTCTAGCTTATGTGAGCGTTTTAGTTATGTGACCTGACACCGCGAATGTTTTCGCACGTTTTGCTTCTCCTGATTGGCTTAAGCTGTATTAATCACTTTTTACGTTGTTTTCGGAAGCCGTTTGGACACGCCGAATAATAACAAAACAGAACTGCTTTCAGGGCTATTTTAAGTAACTGAGGGATTTAATTTCCATACCTTTCAAATGACGGTACAAGAGATTTTATAAGAGTGTTAAATTTTAGAAGTGAAGCGTGAAATAAAATAAAGCATTGTTTATGGTGCGAAATGGGTCTCTAATGTTTCCAAAAGGCACGAAACTTGGATTTGCATTTAAAGATGAAGAGACGGGAGCGATTGCGGTTCTGTTTGTTTTTATTTAAATCTCTGACAGTTGAAGTGCGATTCTGTCTGCTGGATTTTAACTGCGGTCGGATCACGTGTCAAAGAATAGATCATCGCTGGCTTTAGAAGGGAATCTTTTTTGTTTATGTTTTTCCACTTCATTAGAAACGATCGCGTGAATCGACCAATATCGAGCAGATTTCAACCCAACTAAGGAAATTGACGATTACCATAGCTAGACACGCTTTCCTGGAAGAAACTTTCTCGATCAAGTCGTTGCAGACAACTATTTGTTTCACTTTCGAATGTTATCCGTGATTGACAGGCTAGTCGTAAGAGCCAATCAGTGTCCCCGCAGTGAATAATGACGCAAACACACCATTTATTGGCTTCTGTAAACAAAAGGACGAGAACAGGATGTGTTTTCTGTCTGTTCCCCGATCGCGTTTATTTAACTCCTAGTGCAATTTTCCAGTGCTTGAATCTTCAAAAACCTGATTAAATACGTCAAACATCGACTAAAGCAAAAAATCTGGAACGCTACGAGCGTAAAACTAGCTCACGGTCTCGCTTAGTTGCAAAACGCTAACCCTCACCACGTGGTCTATGATAATTATGTTGCCATAGAAATCATTATCTTTTTGACACCAAGATGACACACCTCTCACGTTTGCATTTTATATTCGTGGGTTATCACAGTTCAGCAAATCGGTGAAAAAGCAAAAAGGCGATCGAAGGTACGGGAAGCGTTAGTCTATTTAGACTCCTCTAAGTGACAACATGTCTACGGCCCTTGTCTCCGCGTTTTATGACGTGAACGACGTGTTATACAAGGTTAGTTGCCGTTGTCGTTTTCTTTTAGAACTTTACGCAAGAACAATCGCATCTATTCATACCGCGATGTCTCTAAAGTAGAAACCTTTGTGCAAGGTGATTAAGAGCAATTTTAAAAGTCCCTCTGCCGCTCTGATCTCACGTCAACATGTGAATCGCTTTCTTCTGCAGAATAACAGAAATCTCGGCTTGGCGTTTGAGCAAAGACCACGAAGTGAAAGGAAACCATTGCCTATAGGCCAGCCGCGAAGACACTCGACTTCTGTTTCAAGCTCTCGCTCCTCGCCGAACCTGATCACGTTGACGGGTTCCCCAAACAAACGAGAACGCGCATTGAGTTTGAGTGCCGAAGAGGAGCGCAGACGAACCAGTTCAAACTCCAGCCGGTACAAGACCGAACTTTGTCGCCCTTTCGAAGAGAACGGTACTTGTAAGTATGGAGACAAGTGTCAATTCGCTCACGGTGTTCACGAACTGCGCTCACTTAGTCGCCATCCTAAATACAAAACTGAATTGTGCCGCACATTTCACACGATCGGGTTCTGCCCTTATGGGCCGCGATGTCACTTCATTCACAATGCAGAAGAACGAAGGGCTGCGCAAATGATGAATGGTGCCCGAATGTCTCCGCCATCGCAACTCATCGGTCCACCTTCGCCGCCACTCACAGAGCCAAGCTCGCCATTACCGACTTCTTTAACTCCACCTTCTCCATCTCAGCTCTCCTTCTACAACGATGATAGCCCATTGGGAAGCCCTATCAACAGCCCGTTAGCGATTCCTTCTCCCGCTTCAAACAATGTCTTTACCTTCCCATCACAAGCTCAGGATTTCTCGCCTGTTCTTTCGCCGACCATGGCAAGCCCTCCAGGAGTGTTCTCGCCTGGGTTAGAGCTGAACGAAGACGATGACTTGGACGAAGATGATGAAAATCTTCCCCCGACGCCGCCAGACTCGTATGATTTGGCTAGCCGAAGGCGCTTGCCTGTGTTCAACAGAATGTCCGTGCCGGAATAAGGTTGTAAAAATTGGCTTTTAGTAGTTTAACGTTTGTACACAAGATTTGTAATTTAACATTTAAAGACTGATCAAGTCAACAAAACGCTGGAGAATCAGTTATTATTTTCACGTCAAAATAGGGCACACAAGAATATACATATACATATATTATATTATATAATTAACCATATTTTTATGATCGGGACTAAAGCACAGATTTATATGCATCAAGCAGTTTCTATAGGTCCTATAGCTTATTTATCGAAGAAAACAGAAAGAAAATTATCGACGGAATTGCTAGTGTTAAACACGAAATTCCTAAGTGTAAGTTTTTCGTACACGTTTTATATTTGGTCAATAATTACCACTGTATATTGTAAAGCCTGTGAATAATGGAAGCTAAAATTATATTGTCGACGTTTTTTTTTTCTTTTACCTCTTTCAATTCCTATCTATTTAATATATTATTTATTTAACTTATAATACCAAGCGATAAGTTGCTATTTTGTTACCGAATTTTGAATCAAAATCCATTAATTTTGTTACAGTGAGGTAGAGAAATGAGAGAAGTAATTTCTTAATATATAGCCTATTTACATGGTCGTAATTTAAACGTAGATAATTTATAATCGACTTGCATATTTGGGAGTGTTATGTGCACGTCTGATTCAAAACCGAAGTTGTTTTTGAAAATAGGAACGTCTTTTTGGAAAGCGATTCAATAAATGTTCCTTTAAATTTTGTTAAAAACTTGTGTATTGATTTGGATCTGCGATCGCGGTACAAAAGCTGGGAAATGGGGGCGGTGCGCATCTTTCGATAAAGTCGCTTGTGCAATAACATCGGCGCGACTTTCGCGACAATTATGCCAGGCATTGAGGGGTCATTTTGACAAGGTCGGGCGCTGAAACGTTTCGGTTTACATTTTTTGCATGCGTGAAGCCACTCTTGAATGGCTGCCAACAGTAGGGAACCAAACACCCAATATCGAATGATACTTACTTCTCTCCACCAATGGCGAGGGGTTAGCCCTTTTATCGCCTCAGGTCATCCTTGAAATCTGAGAGCGCTTTGCGAACAGAATGGTTATCAGAGAATAGCAGGGTCGAACTGTCGATGGACATTAAAATATCAACTGACAGATGAGGAGAAAAATGTTCGAAATCGTTGGAGTTAACTCCATGTAGATTGTTTGCTGGCACCAACTTCCGTTTCAATTCGATTTATGACATCTTAGTGGCTCTTTTGCATACCGAACCGTGAAAAGGCACAGTAGCTACAGGAAAGAAGTGCGAATACTTCAGAGTTAAATATTTGGAAAAAGTGACAACGTTCGCAAGCAGGGTATGAAAGTTGCTAGTGTAGAGCTTTGATTTAGGAATGTTTCCTTTCGTGATATCGGTGAAATCTTGCGCTGAATCTGTGACTTGGCCCGTAAAAAATATTGGATTTCTGAGGATTAAATAATTATTTCTCGCGAGCAGTATTCAAAACATTGACACGGCTTGGCTGCTGTGAAGAAAGATCAAAACAGCCGTTTTTGCTTCAGGCAAACGGGACAATTATCCAAAAATTTGCATTTAGAAAATCGAACTTTACGCTCCTTGCTATTGAAAATCGCTGAGTCGTTACGTCTGTTGTGTTTAATGAGCATCGTGATGTTTACTTTGAAGAATCGAGATTTTAACGATCAACAAAAGAGCATATTTGCTTCGAGAATTTAAAGAACTTTCTTCGAATTTCGATCGGTTTTCTGCGAAAGAACGAATGATCAACGAAGGTGCAGAGGGCGCTGTAGTGATTCGTTTCCGGTTTCGTCGAAACGCGGTTTTCCGGTTACCTGTCTTGTCACGTAGCAGAGCTAACATACGAGGATTATTTTTAAAAGAAATATTAACTGATTTACATACTTATGTATTTACTTTTGTTAATACAAAGAACACACAGATATAAAATGTCAACTTCTGGTTGGCTGACTGTTATGTTTTTACCATAAACAATATAAAACTTACACGATTTCAACAACTCGGCTCCTTGAAAGTGAGTAACTTACCAAATTAAAATTTGGCAAGATTTCATTAATGAAGATTAAATTTGAATTCCAGACACTTTAAAGTCCTTAAACATTCTTGAAAAACTCCTTGTGGGATGCAGTTGATTGCAGAAGTCTTTTTATAGATTATTATGACTTCCGAAGCTAGAAGACTAGTGTTTTTTGTTGTTGTTGTATTTTGATTTCTTGTAGCGCTTGAAATGTCACACTCTTTTCGTTTATCCTCTACGTGCCTCCTATATTCTTAATTTTTCTTCTTTGTCAACAAACATTGTTTTCCAAGTGTTTTTTTTCTCAGGAATTTTCCTTAGGAGAAAATATAGTCAAACTCCCTACTGCGGTTGGAAAAGATTGTGTCACCTTTAAAAAATTCGGTGCGGATTTCTTTTCGTGTTGTGTGGGTGAAAGAGAAAAAATGAACGGCGAATGGTTTCAGCGGAAATAAAAGCAATTCAGGACAAATCAAGTCTAAATAGAATTTCATTACGAGTTTATTCCTTGTTGACACAGTTTAGTACTAATGCATCATATGTAATATATTGACAAACATTAAAAGGCTCCTAGGTCTATTTTAAGATGTCCTTGTATCGATTCTTAGCTCAAGACAGAAACCCACCGCCCAGTGTTTCAAGGAAAAAAAACGTTACTTCGGTTAATCAATATCAGTGGGCCTGTGGAGCGTCTTTTCTTCTTTGACTTTACAAATATACACCGAGATGACTTTATAAATATACACCGAGACGTTGGCTTTCATTGAAAGCAAGTATCAGTATATTGTTGTAATATAAATCGCGGCGATGTCTTCTTGTTCAATATTTTCCCAAAAAAACTTCAAAGGGGTTAGAAACCTTCGTAATAACTTGAAATCAGAGAATTCACTATTTAGGAATCAACTGGTAAAAATACGAATGTAGGTTTCATTTAAAATTTTCTCATCTATTTCCAATTCTCGCCAAGAAGATGGAAACGGTTAACTTTTACACGGATAACTTGAAAATTAAATGTGGTTCAAAATTAGAAATGTGATAACTTCTGCATGTATAGAGAATAGTGATTTTAATGTATCAATTTATTGATATCTGCTTTCTACACACGTAAGGGTTGACAACTTATCGAATTTCAAATTTCCCAAGAGTGGTGAACTTAAATTACTCCTTCGTGGCCTGTACGCTACCTTTGCATTTAACGGACGGCCGCCGTTAGCCTTTTACCACTGTGTATTAGCTTGGTAAAAGACATTGTAAACTCTTGTGAATACTTATTTTTCGCTGAAACCGGTCTGAAACGGACAATTCTCAACCGTTTACCTCCACAAGTTAAGACTATTCTGGAGTATTTTCATGAGACTGACAGCTTCGACCCCTAGCTGACATTGTTCAAGTTACAAGATCATATTTTATCAAGCGTTGCAAAAACCGCAAAAAAAAAGGTAAGGATTGGGTTGATAAGATTACACCGCGATATTACGAAGTGCCGTTCATACTCACCTCCATTAAATAGATGGAAAAGAAAGAGGAAAAAATCAATATGCAAAATATAGCGCAGAGTGAAATATTAACTTCTGTAATTGTCCGTAGAGTTCCAAATGTCTGTCAACCGCTTCAGTGACGACCATACTTCGGGACCTACGGCTTTTCTGTTGCGTTAAAATGCCAGTCAAAGATTAGTTGCGGTTCTTTTCGAGATCCGTTCGTTTCAACCGAGAATGAAGACAGAGTTTTTAGAGAAAATATTCATTCAGACACCTTACATAAGGTCATTACCGAATACCTTCAAAATTGTTGTTTACAAATGTAATTGTGGCAGTATTGGATTGGAATACGTAGCCAAGGAAATTGTAAAGCGTTTTGCACGTGAGCAAGAATTTTGCGCGCTTTCTAACCAAACGACTCTTGAGTAGATAAATGATGCCTTATTCCGGCTTAGACTTAAAGGCTAAGACGCATATATGCATATCTTTTTTGTCAAATTGCGGAAACCAGTTGTGACCTATGTATTATTTGTTTGTCGGTTCTTCCCAGAATTTTAGAAAGAATGCTTGTAAGAGTTTAAAGGTTTCCGTTTGGAGGCCTAAAACGAATAAAAGGCAAGAATATCACATGTAATCGAAAGTATTTTTTATCAATGTTTCGTTTCCTAGAAACATAATCCTTATGTTTCCCGTGCATCGGTAAATAACTGCATTATCAACATGTAAATCTGTGATGCTTCATACCTAGATTACTTAACGCCGTGAACCAAGAACCATAGGAAAGGTTTGTTGTTTCAACTGACATGGATAAACAAAACTTTGTGTCAAAATCAAACATTCAAACTGGGATTTAACCATTAAAACTTGCTTAGGTGTCAGGTTGTTGAGATAAACACAATTAAGTCTGACAAATTCTCTAGAAGAAGTCGTGCACCCAAGCACTCAACCACATGATATTGCAAAACAGTTGTCGAGTGATACAAATTTGGTAGTTTCCCTCTGGCGGGCAAAACGTGCTTCAAGACACGTAAAAGCAAAATCAAGCAAATTGGATAGAAGCACTTAACACAAACTTACGACAATTAAGTTTTCTTGCTTGATCGGACGCAAACGAAGTATTAACGTTTGATTTAGTTTCAGCTATTGTGTAATCAAAACCTCATGATGGGTGTGCTTCAACACAGACAATTTGGAGCCAAGAGAACCATAAATGGTATGTCATGTCAACTCCATCATTAAGAGGCTTTGTCTTGCCGGGACAAAACATTTTTTTTCGCTGACCAAACAGGGACTTTGCTCACCCAACTAACGCTTACGTGCGAAGGAGGAAGCAAATTTAGCGTATGATGATCGTGTTTTGGTAAGCCGCTTCGTGGAGGCATTTTCTATTTTAAGCTTTGTGCTTTCTCTTTGGCAACAATAACAATAAGTTTCCAATTTCTTCCAAATATTTACGTTGGACTGTAGCAAGTTTTACACTTCCAACAAATTAAAGCCGTTTAAAATCAGCAAGAACTGATAGACCAAATTTGATATTATAGAACCAAAACTTCTCTATAAATATAAGTCTGTGGAACACCAACGTACTTTAGCGTGGAATGTTAAATATTTACGGTGTACTTATGGAGTTTTAGCTTCATGAAGCTTCTTCAAAGCGAAAGGAAATTTTATTTGAAAACACCAAGTCACTCCGACAAAGGGCTTAAGACAATTCCTTCGTAAATTTCTGGAAAGCTTTTCCGTGACAAGCTGGGACGTGACTTCAATATGCATAATTAATCCCGCAAATTGTAATTTCGAAAGCTTAAAATAATCCTACTCGAAAGTCCCAAAAACTCCGAAACAAAAACAAAGTTTTTCCTCAATTCAACCGCGTCGGCTGACCACAAAATTGGCAAGCAAAACGGATAAAAAGGTTGTTAATACATCGCGGTTCCAAATACGGAAACCCTGCTAATTCTTTGTCGAGCATTGTTGACTTTGGTCCAAGCAGACGACACGATTGAAATAAACAGATTGGTTTTATTTCTCCTTTTATAACTTCCTTGAGTAATTTGCTTAAAGGGAAATAAAAAACAAGTATAATGCGGTCTTAACAACCTCGGAAATTATCGTTCAGAGAAAGCGGTTCCCGGATGCACTGAAACGTACTTTCAAAAGCTTCTCGTAACAACTTCTTTGAGCAATGTGCTCAGAAAAATTGTTATATCTAAAAATTTGTCAATAGCTCATCTCGGTGGCAGTTTAAGAAATATCATCTGTCGCTGTTTCCGCGTCATTTTTCGCATCATAGAATCATGTTTCGTAGTTCCTTATCTCCTTTTTGATACGTCTCTGCATGTCTGACGTTAGATACCAGGACCTTGAAAATCCGTGTGGGAGAAAGGGTAACCGAGGAATAGAGCTAGAAGCTCTTCTGAGGCCTCACTCGGTCATGACTTCAAGAGTATCCTCCAGATGAAAAGTAAATATCAGAATTAAATCATTATCTTCCTTATGGCACAGGCAGACCACACAATGTGTTCGTGGCTAATTATTGAAGACAAACAAAATTGATGGGGGTAATAAATAAAGACCTGAAAATTGCATATCTAAATTACATCTCGGTCTGAATATCTGAATGTCTGACCTTTCGTGAATTTTCTTCCTGCTGTGCCAAAAATTCAACGAAAAAGGTTTAAAAACATACACTTTTAAACAATTTCGAAGCTATCCGTGTCTCCGTAGCAACAAAGATCGAGGACGCGCGAGCAAGTTCCCAACGTTCATTTAGACGCCAGTTTTTGCAAAGTTGCGTATTTAGCCGTATATGCATGGCGTCTCGAAATTCAAAACCTTATCAGTTAAGCGAGAAGAGAACAAGGTTAAGCGTTTGAGAGGAAGTGTAACGCGACATGCTCTGCAAGTCACCACTGGTAGGAAAAGTTATATGTGGCACTTTGTTCATTCAAGGCTAACCAAGGGCTAGCCTGTCAGTAAAATAAAATTTCGTTCTTATCTTCAGCACTTTTGCGAAATGTACGTCACAACAAACTGTAGAAGATTCGCAAATCAAATATAATAACTTTAAGATGCAAAGTCCGAAAACAGGTATGGATTTTAATGGTCAGGTGCGTTGAAAGGGTATCTTTTGGTATGAAAAAGAGTTGCGATCTCCACCAAGAATTCCGAGGCAAAACTCTTCCCGGGCTTACATTACTGATAAGATCCACTTTAAATTTCATTTCGGTGCCTGTTACATTTCACATGCCACAAACGTCAAGTTACAGTGTTTCTATTTCATGATTTTACGATTTCCTCGCTGCTCTGTGGTGCATCTGCGATAATGTTTGCGGGAGGTTCTCTGTATGGAATTCTCATAATTTGAGAATTTTTCTCCAATCGCGAGGAGCTGGCATCAAAAAGGCATCGAAATTCACTTCTGTCAAAGGAAAAACGTCACTTTCTTTTTTTTTTTTTTGTTTATGGGTCCGTAGATAAATTTTCGTAAAAACCAAGTGGTGTGGCTGAACAATTCGATGAAGTTTCCATGGCTGTCCTTCTCGCTCACGTTCTCCAGACAACGCAAAGTTTGGTCATTTCTGGTCATTGCGTCAGAGGTCGCAAACAAATTTACAACGATTTTGAATACAAGAGCATAGCCATTGATCTACTCATTAAACCTTCTTGTGTAGAGACGTTCCCGTTTCCCTGATAGTTTTCTTAAACTACCTATTGTCGCCGTGAAGAAGAAGAAGAAGAAGACCTTTATGTATTCAGGGTAGCCCATTCAGATACCTTAAGCACTGCTATCAATTGGGGCCCTGATAAAAATTAAAATGATAAGAACTACACAATCATGCTAAAATACTACTTCTAAAGGTAAACCCTTGGTAAAGTTATGTTAATCTTAAAATATGGGCCGTATACAATTACAGTAAAAATGAACAAAATCTTAAAACATTAAAAATTTTGCTTATTATTAAAATTACGGAACCATTTTAATAAAAAGGGTTTTTAGCTAAGTCAGATTTAGCTTATTAAAAATTACAGAACCATTATAATACAAAGAGTTTTAAGCTAAGTCAGTTACGCCGTGGGGCGCAACAAAGCCGGCAAAGCCGTTACGTACATTACCCTCCACATGAAAGTCTTTAAAATAATCTTAAATAATGTTGAGTTAAAACTCAAAGCTCCCAACACCTTTATTCTCAAGTAAGCAGGAACCTATAAGTGAAACAAACGTACATGTCCTGTACGAAGTTATCGACTTTGGAAAGGTCGGTATAAAACGAAAAAAAAAACCCTTTCTATTTACTTCTGAAATTCTCGAAGTAAGTCAACATTTTGGACCTTCTCCTTTTTCTCTTAGCAATGCTTTACTAGAGTAAATGCAAGTATCTAAGTAGTTACTGCGAGAATTTTATTAACCTTGTCACTCCCAAGATTTCCTCAGTAATTCTCCCTTCTGTTTGAAATACAAGTCTTATGAAGTTAGTTCGGAGAATTTGGTATTGGCTCGACTAATAATCCCCCTATTGATACTTTAAATTATTCTCATCACATGTCCGCTTGATATTGTTTTTAGTTGTAAGGAGAAATTCTGTCTTAGTCACTCGTGGGAGTTAAAGGGTTACCTGTATCCAGCGAGTCCCGAAATTCACTTCTGAGAGGATTTAATTAGCTGATTTTTTTTCTTGCAGCTTCTCTCGTAAAGTCGAATCTTGATCATGAAGTTTTTACATCCTCCTCCCTTTTTTCAGCAGTCTTAAGGCCTCTCCTTTTACATAGTCTTTGTTTATTCTTGGTTAATGGCAGGAGTTAAACAAGTGCATACTCAAATGTCTTGGTCGGTTTCACTAGAAATGGGTATGCATATTAAAGATATTAACAAGTAGTAACTTTTGTATTGAGATGCTCGTCTGAGCCTTTTACAAGCAATGAGCACGGAATATCTGCCAATAAAATAATTATGTCTGAAATTTGGTTGATTGTTAATTCAAGGAAATGGGAGATAAGGAATTTTTTTGCTGTTTTTGCGTTAAGGTTTCCTGAATATGATCAAATTTCGTGCTTTCTCGTCTCGACCTTGATCACTTACCACGCTGATCCATCCGTCAGTCTGCAAAATGAAATTAAATAGTTTATTTTGAAGGGCTGGAAGTAACGATTGAAAATCAATGGCCATTTAGGCAAACAACTGATTAGCCTTCCTCTCTACTTATGAAATGTAAAAGTCTGCAATCAAAGATTCCTGAACGATGTCCATAAACATCAACTTTGATATACTTATGAAGTTATTTTACGTACTTATATTGAGTTCTTCCACAATATGAAACAGCCCAAAACACAAACCTTTTCTTCCAGCTGCATAGTTAACAATTTTTGCAGGTCATTTTACTGACGACAAACAAACGTAAGTTCCATGGGGAAAGTGAAGTCTGAGTCCCTTTTGAAAGTTATTGTCCAGTTGAAAAATCCTTCGCGTAAGGGTAGAAGAAGCTCTAAATCAGGGTCATTTACAATCGAGTCCTAGTTGAAAAAACGCCCTCCTCTGCCGTGGACACTGGTACCCTACGGGCTCGTGTATTTTTGCTGTCTTTGAAAAATTTCACTTGTGCTTATTTAAAACACCAAATCGCACTTGAAATCACGTAGTTGCTTATACAAATCTTGGTCTGTCACAAACCGGAGGAGGAGGCAAATTTAGTCAAAGAGTTGCATGAGTATACTCACTTTTGTTTATGTGTTTGTTTTTTCTTTCTTTCTTTTTATTTTCCGTATCGTCCATTTTATTTAGCCGCCCAACCTTCATTGCTCTCATCAAGAAAGCAGAAACGATTGCGATATAACGTCGCGAAGGGTATTTAAACAACAACATCCGCTGCAGGCTACCGCTCGTTGAGAAAGCTATTTGGCACAATGTTCCTTCAAGGCTGACCAGGGGCGATACAGTACCTATGCATATCGATACATCTCTTAATATACAACAGAATCTGAAGTAGAAAAGTTTGAAGGAAAGAAGAACAGCAAGTAACTGTGCGACTACTGAGCGTGTTCTGATAAAATTTTAGCTTTAAGTACATTTTTTTTTCATTTTACCAACTCAAGTATGAATACTTGACCCTGTCAGAAAAACTGGACCTTGCGTGGCCAGGCTCCTGTTGGAGGGACTGGGGAGAGGATAATAGGATAAACGAAACACTCAATGTTCTATAGCACGCCCTTTATACTCTGTTAGCGACGACCACTCCCCTCAAATGCCTAATAACGCCTAATCTATAACTGAAAAATCGAACAACTTGAGGATTTCTAAACAGAGAACTGCGCCAAGCGCAACGTTTGATAAACTGACATAAGAAGTGATCATGCTTAAAAGAAACTGGCTTTAGATACAAGAGGACCGCGAAATAACGTGCGAAAAGATATAACTGATGGATAAAACGCTAAAAAAACTTAACCGAAAAACATAAACGAGGAGGTAACTAAAGTACAGAACAAAATACGGGGGAGGGAAGGTTGGCGACCCCAGGAAAACTTGACATTTTCGGGTTTCCAAAAGTCAATATTAGAGCTGCCATCATGTGAAGCTTATGCTTTCGATCTATTATAGATTTGACATGTTTATATGGCGCAGACTTTACGTTGTATTCCTTCTTTTTTTCAAGATTTCACTATTTCCTCGCAGCTCCTCAATGCATCTGTATCAAGAAAGGCGGGCGACTTCCCGTATGGTATGCTCATAAAATCGCCGTAATACGATTCGAGAATTTTTCTCCATTCGCGAGGAGCTGGCACTAAAAAACCGTCGAAATTCACTTCTATCAAAGGAAAAACGTCGCTTTCTTTTCTTTTTATAGGTCCGTAGATAAACCTTCGTAAAAACCAATTGGTGTGGCTGAACAATTCGATGAAGTTTCCATCGCTGTCCTTCTCCAAGACTAACATATCTATCATAAGACCATCTGCGTGCTTACAGCCGCTGTGCAAACAGTATTTATAACAGCTTTTGGTGTCGCGTAATTTCCCCAGCATCCCGCTCTGCGGCGGAACTTTGTAATGAACATCTGTGTCCTCTGTTTGAAAAAATATATCTTCTGGAAGCTCACTGACACCGGACTTGATAAATGTTTGATAGTCTATTTTGGGGATACAAATGTCTACGTCATCGTCAAAAGGATTATGTCCGCTATGTCGAACGGCACCCAGCAGAGTGCCTTTACAGAGCCAATATTTAATGCCGTGCTTCTTGGAAATGATATCGAAGATCCGAAGAACCCTTGTGAGTACTAGTTGAGCTCGTCGAAGCGATGTCGACCCTTTGCTGCGAATATCAGGGCAGTAAATGCTACCATCTGCTTTCGACTCGCACTTTCCTAGCCTCGTATAAGGTATCGGCTGCCAATCTATCTGCTGTAAGCGAAGTTGGTGAGGCAGCGACGTGGATAGCGTTTTCGTCCCAAGTAACCATACGGCAAGCACAAGCAAGAACAGCGCAACGAGCTTCCTCTTAGGACGTAGTGGCCTTGTAAGGTTTTTCCAGTACCGTGATCTCGAGTTACAAATGGATTTTCACATAGTTAGTAGAACTCTCAACTTGTGCGATGTCGAACGAAAGTTTATTAGGCCATTTCCGAACTACCCTTAGCCTCTTTTTCAAAACGAGGCCGGTTCTCAACCAATTGTATGAAAATGAGTTTAATTTGCATGTGAATAAAAACTAGGATGAACCCTAAGACTTGCGTTGAAGAGGAGGCCAAAGGTAACTCAGAAATGGTGGCTCCCGGAAAAATCGTCCTAGGAGGGCTACTTTAAAAGAAACTATGGAGAACTATACATCACTGTGAAGCTTACAGTATATAGTTTGAACCCGGGGGTAACATGTAATAATGTAGTTTGATCGTTCGGGTGAGTGTAGTCCTGAGAAGGACTGTTGTCGGTAGTGGTGACTGACGTTTCGACAACCTGAGCGGAAGTCATCATCAGAGTCAAATCAAACTACACTATTACTGTGAAGCTTATTAAGTAAAGATTCTAACTAGTTTTAACAGTTTCTGTTTCGGTAAGCACGCGCAAGCCTTTAAACACAAAACTAACGGTTTCGATACAACTGAAGTACCAGCCTCTGCGTTGCCGCGGACATCCAAACAAACGTGACTGTATCAGTGTGTAGATAATATGGTAGCGCAGTGCGTGAAGTTTTTTCGATATTCCCATGGGTTCCTGAGAAAATACATCGATTGTTTCACGCGCAGGAATATCACAAGGTTTCGTTATGGCCTCACACACTTTGGTGCCTCCATATCCAGCGAATATTAATTTTCTAATAATAATAATGATGATAATAATATTAAAAATTTTTTAACGTAAATCTCAATATAATTTTTTTTCCGTTTTTCCTTCTTTTTGGGTGAATTTTTACTATTATAATGATAATGCCTCATTCACTCCTGGTGGAATATGTTTCGTCACATATTGTCACGAACGTCTCTATTTTAGTTCTGTATTTCATTTCAAGTTTGATGGCTTAGACCGCCCTTTTTTTTACAAATGTGATTTTGCTAGAGCATTTTTGTCGACATAAAAAAATAAAGCATTCGTTCTTGACGGATCTCGAAGTTATTGCAATATGCATCATTTTACTTTTAGCTACTTCATGCGTAACAATTATATTTTTGAATACTACATGCGCAGATGACTTGAATATATTTTTTTTAATCAAGTCATTTTGGCAGTCAATTTGTGTGGATGGTACATTAGTCATATATATTATATACAGAATAATACATGGGCGCGCGTAGATATGGAATTTCTTTTCGAGTGTTGAACACGAGAATAATTCCGAATCTATAAGCAACCATGAATTATTTTGTTTATCATATAAACACAACAGCCCCTTACAGACAATGAAAAGTCAACTTTATCATTGAATGAAAGTAAAAGGATCGACAATCCCCAAATAAAAACGCGTTGGCTCTAAGGCTTACATGAAAAAATGCGTTGGAGCACTACAAAAGCAAACCGTAGACATAATTTTCAACATACGAAATTCTCAGTTATTGACTTGCTCCGCACCGAAAAAGGAAATCTTTCAGATACACGGCCAAAATCGCCCTGTGGCAAATCTTCCGGTTGTCGTTTTCGCCGCGAGAATGCCGTTACCAAAGCCACTGAATACGTAACTTTCGGTTTTTCTTTCCGTATTTTGATTTTCTTCCCTTTCTAGGAAGGTTTGAACGTCACTGTCCTGAAGCGATACGGATTTTTCAGTGTTTTGGGAGCCATAATCCGAAATAAAATCCGACAAACCACCTTGTATTGAAAATCGTGAAGGCCTTGCTGTTCATTCACCAATCTGACCAAGTGGCGCGAAAGGCGAGTGACGAGTTGGCAGCTGATTTGTTACAGCAAACACATGTGAAAAAATACAATATTTTTTCACATGTGTTGGTACGGCTTTTCACAGGGCTAAAAATCCTTGTATAACACCATAGTTAATGTGATGAAAGATTATACTATTTTACATTCATAAGCTATATATAATTGTCATACAATAACTAATTGATTGCCTATTTTATCAATTTTAACGAAATCATAGTAGTATAAAGGTTTTACAATGCATCTCATTTGTCTTTACCCTCTGCAAATAAACAATAACATATCTGACATTGTCAATTCTGAATGAAATTTGAAAGAATCCAAGATGAACGAGTTGATGCAGAAACTTTGTATAATTCTCTCAAATGGTTCTGTTTTGTTTCTTAAGAAATTAGCCAACAAATGAATCATAAAGAGTGTGGTACCCATCAAAGAAATCGATTAACAACGACTCTTCCTGCATCAGCATCAACATGTTTGAGAATCAACTCATTATCATTTTGCAGTTAAATATTAAACTGTAAATGCATTGGTACTGACATTTTGTTCAACTCTGAACAAAACTTCATTAAATGTTAATGTTATTGGATACTCATCTTCTTTGCCATCGTTTGTAATTACAGTTATCAATTACAGTTATCTCATAGGAAATCTCTGTCTAAGCCCAGACACCACTTGCAAAATTAATGCCATTGAAAGTATTTCCATTGTCGTTACTACATTTTTTTAACTGGTTATTATTGTTCGATTCAAACCAATGTTATACCCCTAATCTGGATTTAAAGATATTGTACGACTTAATTTTCTTCTAAAATCTTCTGGTTTGTTGTTATTAACATCTTTGACAGAATAAGATGATAAAACTAGTTCTCTTTCCATACTATATCATTAATCTATTGTTCAAAGGTTTTTTTGAATGTTCATTTTTACTTAAAATTTTGGTTTTAAGTAACTCATCATATTTCTTAAAACGGGTGACGTAATGCCTGCATTACTCAAGAAGTGGGGAGAAACACTCGATTACGTCTCGCGTTTCTCCCTACACTTCTTTCGTGCTCGAACCGCTTCCTGCGTGCTTTATAACAGAACAGAGCACAGTCAAGGCTTCTCTATTTGTTAATTATCTTGCATATTTTCTTCATCAATAACACCATTATCATCCTTTTTCATCATCAACATCATCTTCATCAATTGCATAATCACGCTAATCATAATCTTCATAAGATGGAGGAAGGTCAATATCTGGATTTATATAATATTCTGGATATTCAGGTGGTTAAAGGCGCAGTTTATTTTTCTTTTCGTGGTTCAACACCTTCAAACAAATCATCAAGAGTCACGTCTTCAACTTCATCACCGCTAGTATGCCATAAGCAGGCACAAATTTTCGTGGTTTTATTTTCTTTTTCTGTTTAGGAGTTAATAAATTGGTTAAGAAGACATCGTCTAGTGTTTTCTCACGATTTGAAATATTAACTTTCTTACCTAACTTATTGTCTAATATTGTTTCATTCACTTCATTAATTTCTTGCCTAATTCAGTTTTACCTTTCGCAAGTTTAGGCCAGTTATCAAGACTCATGATATAATATTGCAGAAGATAAAAAATTAAATGATCTATGAATATTGAAATACTACCACTACTTTAAGTCACACTTCAAGTTTTGGCAAAACGTTATTTTAACTTATTATATAATGAAAATAAATAATTATAAAACAGAAGAAGATCAAATTTTAAACATATATATATAAATTCATGCCAAATAGCCGTTTTAGAAGGTTAATATGTGCACGTTCAAGAGCGGGTAAAACCAATATACTTCTCGACATGATATATAGATTGCGACAATTTAATAAAATCTATCTTTACTCAAAAAAAAATTTGAACAAAGCAAATATAGAAATTTGATTAAAAAATTTGATCCAATAAGTAGAGGTGTAGGATATGTAGCTGAAATAAGTAATGATGAAATTATACCAACTAAAATAAAATCGTTTATCGAAATATTATTTTATAATTATTTTATATCATTATCCATATAACTAAAGATTCTGTTGAAGATATAATTAAACTTTACAAACCTTTTAATCTCCATCTGTACCATTTGGTGTTAACGGTAAAACTCGTTTATTTCGTTGTAGCTCGGCATGATATGGTGCTTAACCTTATCCACGCGATATTTTCTTTGGTAGACTGATTTTCAAGATATTGTAACTTGAATAACAATAGCCTGAAAAAACACTCATAATTAATGACCTGACCGCATGGACAACATTCATTCCATTATCATCAAATTAACTCTTGTTTTTGACAACATTTGTCATCTGTTTTAACTTCTTTATCCTTTTTAAAATTGATCTTATCAAATCGATCAAGTAAATTCATAAATATATATTCTATGAGATTTATTTTCAAGTTAAAACAGATTATGCTCGATTGCCACGTGTGAAACAACGATCACAATATGTTATTCAAATTGAAAACAAAGCTTAAGTAAAATAATTGATTCTCACGCTATCTTCTAAAAATATATTTTGTTCTTTCAAAGAATCAGTCGTGTTGAAGCAGCAGAACAGTCAACATCACACAATAAAAAAGGAGCGATTTCTACATTTAAGACACGATCTTCACAAATTAATGGAAACTTTAAAGTACAAGACGCTGTTGAAAGCGTTAACCCTTTAACTCCCACAAGTGATCGACAAAAAACTTCTCCCTTACATTATGCAGTAAATAGGTGGTGAGAATGTTCAAGCTTATCAGTTAGTTTTTATCTTGATCTGAAACCAAATTCTTATTACTAATTTACAAGGAAATATGTAGCAGCTTGAGGAGAGAATTAACAATTTGATCTTGGGAGTTAAAGGGTTAACTCTAGCCTGCTTGATGAGTATGTAAGCAATAAGGAGCAAGTCTTTTCATGGCAGCATGGGTGTAGGTATTGGGACCATTGCAGCCATGAGGCAAAAGGTAAAAAAGTGCTAATTACTGACTGCCTTTGCACTGGTGGATGAAATGACAAATGCCAAGGATTATGGGACCTAATGGCAAAAATATAAAATGACAATGCACTCAATATCGGAACTTGATAAATGCAATAATTATATTAAAGGTCATATCAGTACAAAAAATTATGTGAGTCTTGACTTTAATGAGAGCCATTTGTCGGGAGCTCATCACTCGGAAGTCTGTATGGGCTGTACGCTTGAGTCAACTCTTTCCCGTTTTAATTTATTTCTATAACTAGGTTTCCTACGAAACTGTGGGTACATCATAATTCACACAATTTTCATCCAAAAAAATCTGATCATCCTTCTATGCTTTCCATCCATGGTGTCAAAGATTTTAATTTTAAAATCATGAAATCAAATATGTAAACGAGCATGGTCTTAGCTCCACCCAGATTGGTTATTACTGTAGAAATAAAGTAACAAATATCTCTGGCGTAAACTACTTCTATAAATACCTTAATCTAAACCTTAAGTTCAGTTATTCCATATAAATTTTGAAAGTATTACACTACATTATCTTTATATGATATATCTAACAGTACACAAGTTCCTTCGGGATGACTCTTACCATAAATATCTCTAGCACGAGAGTCAAACACTTAAAAAAATGGTCATCATCAGGAAAGTAAACGAAGGCAACAGTAATACAACCAATTGTCAAAATTAATTACTTGTATTGCTCTGATATCAATGGCTCAAAAGCTCTTTTTCAAAAGCTCTTTCTAGGCCTGCACAGTATGGAATCATTTATTTCCTTTAAAACATCATTTTGATGTACACACGGCGCTGTTTTGTCAGAGTGTTGTCTACATAATTTAAGTAATACAACAGTTTCGTCTGATCCCATCTTATTTGAAACAACAGAAATATTATAGCACATAACGCGTTAATAATTTTCACACAAGTGACAAAACTAATGCAAATAATGGCAAAGGAAATATAGCATAATGTACCTAATTTGAGCAAAACATACTAAATGTAATCATTATGATAAAAGTCACATAAATACCATTACGAGTGTCTTCACTTTGACGAGAGCTACCTATTCAATCCAGCAACATGGCGTCCGTAATATTGTTTCCTGCTAATTGATCACGCTGCATGATGTCTTTATAAGCGCCTAACAGGAGTGTTAATGTTCTTTGGTCGTCCTTAGTTATCAGCTGTCCAAATTTTTCAATCATTAATAACTCGTGTGATTACAGGTTTGATTCTGGTAACACCTTGGCTAAATCAATTGATTCCCTTGCTATTTTGAGTTTGCGGAACGATCCGTTTCGAATTGCATGGTCATTGCCAACATTGCTAAGTGTCTCTACTGCGAATAGCTTACATTGAACAAGTGAAAGAGAAGTTTTTAAATAGTATTCAACGTCAACAGTTCCACCGATTACAGTGATATCGAAGTCAAGATTGGTGATGGTAACCAATGTGTAGTAACGATAAAAAACTTGAAGCTGCTTTAATGATGGAAAAAGACGTATATGATATTACTTATGCCTTCAAGGACAAACGTTCAAAAATTGAAAGTCTATAATAATTCAGGGTTGCTTTTAGATATTAAATTTCTCCTCTCGTGTTCAACTCGAAGAGAAATTCCATATCTATGCGCGCCTATGTATTATTCTCTATATTAATTCCAATGATGATAGCACTTTAAGCACTTAACAAGACAAATGTGCTATTTCTGATGCTTTTAGTTATCGTACAATTTTAAAAAAGTGAGTTAAAATTCGTGGACAGGATAAATAATTGTGAATTTTAGTACTTTTTACATTAAAATCCTACCGCAAAAGACATTTTAAAGCAAGCATGTACCTGTAACCAAAAAAATACATTCGATGATAATCTCCTCCGGATCGAAGCCGGGGGAGATTATCATCCCCGGCTCCCCCCGGATCCCTCTAGCTTTTCTTGTGAAAATTTGAAAAATTTGAAAAATTCGTTCAGAACAATATGTTTTGTTGGCTTTAATTCTGTTCCAAAAGTATTGAAATTAATTCGAGTTATTAGGACGTTTTGAAGTTCAATTATGAAGCAGTAAATGCAAAACCTCTTTTGATTAGTACTTCTATAGCATGTTGCGAAGCGCTCTTTCAATTCCGTTTATGAGCCCCCTGGGATATAAACTCCTCCGTTTAGAAGCCCCTCCGGTTACAAGCCCCCTGGTATATCAGCCCCTCTGTTTATAAGCTCTGTATTGGCGACAGCTTATGGTATCCATGCAACTCTTCCGCTATCGTTTGGTAGAGCGTGAACGAATTATATTCGTACTAGGAGAGGGGCGATAAAATATCTCGGCAAATATAAACTTTGAAAACCTGAGACAAGGCAATCTCACAATGACAGGCATATTCATGTTATTGAGTTCTTAACTAGAGCTTAAATTTCGAATTAAAGTTACTTTCGAGAGAGATACGCTGATATGCTCTCAGTCACGAATTAGGTATGTGTCTTGCGCTATTTTGAAGAGTTTCCTGCGAGGTGACAATTCAATTGCGTAATATAAACCTTAGAAACATACGAAGATCGTTCTTTCGATATAATAAATACGTGATATGATAGAATTCTGAGATATGGCACTTAGTTAAAATGACGAGCAATTCGTCCGACCGATTGTCCTAACTTTCGAGAGTACTCTCCTTTGTGTATGGTTCAAAACCACTGATCAAGCAATTCTTAAAAAAAATTACGTCCACACAAGAAAGAGTCTATTAAATAGTCTACAATGTTAAAACTGTCCAAGGCCAAATATCTTTGAACTGGAATCGAACGAAATATAAATATACCTCAGGGAAAGAACTACATAGCATTTCTAATCTTAAATGGGGCTACGCGATCGAGAAAATAGTGAGAATTAAAATTCTTGAGCCTTTCCGAAAAAACAGAGACACAGAAGCGTACTGCGGAGTCTCAGAAGACTCTCAACAGAAACATTTTGCAGCTACCTATCAGTTACGTGTTGCCGAAAAAAAAAGGGTTCATGAGATATCTTTCTCAAAGCGATGACGAGCTCATGTCGCTGGTTATGCTATTGCAGAATGGTACAGCAAAGATCACCAATAAACTTCCCAGTAGGAGAATGTGTTACCGCTTCGGTCAGAAGGCAGAACGAACCTGGATAGGCTGCAAAGAGGGATTTCCACCAAGACCTACAAATAAATCATATTTAGACATCGGTCACAAAACTGTCTCGCTTTTTTTCATTTATCAATAGAGTGTGCGACCATTGGAGTAAACATTAGTTCGTGCCTTTAGGAAGGTTCGACCGTTTGGTGTAACTAGCCAAGAGTAAGAACTGAGGCTGCTGAATCTGAAATTTCCATTCAGCCCTATCTGGAAGAGTAAACTTCAAAGTCATCTGCCTCAATTTGAATTCAGAGTTGTTATATATTATTTCCGCAATCCTCGAAATAAGCTTCAGTTCTTGTTGAAGAAATTTTATAAATTGAATTCGTGAATGTGTGCTTTTACTCTTTTAAGACACTTTTAACATCAGTTTGCATTTTCTCCACACTGTTCTCTGTACATTTCCTAAGGTGCCAACAAGGAGAATTTGTTTAACAATCAAGAGCTTCTTTAGATGGTGATCATTTCCTTTATTCTCATGACCCTAATGTGTGATTCAGGGGTGATATTGTAAGGAGAATTGTCTGCTGGTCACTCCTAGGGTCATAAGGTTAAACCTGTTTCTAAAATCTAGGGGTTGTTATACGTAGGGTTTCATGCTATTTACCATGGCGATTCAAGTTCGTATCCTGACGTTCCAAAACTAATCCTTGAGCGTGTATCGTGTAAACAAACGATGCAAACGGCGCCACTGGAGATTTGGAAATCAGAACCTGTTTTTAGAAGAAGAGGAAGAAGAAGGAAGAATCTAGTGAGGAATGAGTTTCTAAAACGATTCGTTTTCAGGACAAAATTGACAGATCACCAATCTTGAAAGTCAATACCTGACGAAATCTTTCGTCCAAATACTGTACAATCAGACGAGTATTCACCGCATGTGACCACGTGTTACCTAACGCAGCGGTCACGTGACTACCATCGTCCTCCTCGGGCTCAACGTCTGCGCCGTCGACGTCCTGGAAACCCTCGTTTCCACTGGAACTCCCCGCACCAATGAAACGAGTAGTGATTTGATTAGTAACGACAACCTAGAACAGTCGAGACGCAAAGAATTGACTGAAGGTGTTCCATTTGTTGCACATTTCAGCTCAACAAAAAGTTGTGAAGCGTAAATCGACTGTACATTTCTCGAGACGATTGCGAAATAATTTACCTAATTGGTATTATTTCATAAATCAGGAAGGCTGGTCGCTTACAAATGCATCGTTTCGTTCAAATGGCTATCCTACCTTTTTTCCCTTCCTTTACTTCTTCCTCTCTTTTTTTGCCGTCCAGTTCTTTTCTTTGCAATTTTTATTTCGTAATTCACTCAAGGTTTTTACAGCAAAATAATTGTAGGTACTATCTTGATTTAGAGTACAATTTGGTGTAAATAAGCACTAGTAAATTTTTCAATGACAACAACACTGCACGGGCCCTTGTAGTGTTTGAAAAATTTACAAGCGCTTCTTTGCACCGAATTCACGAGTAATCATGTTATCACTCATTACTAATTTAAAGAAAAAACCATCACAGCAAGTCAAGACAGACGAAATTTCGACAATACTCGCGCGCTATTGGTGATTTGCAGTCGTGTTACAACCTGGCACTCGTATTACAACTTTGCACTCGAGTCACAATTTTGCACTCGTGTAACATGAAAAATGCACTCGTTTTCAGCCGATCAGAAGCGCGTTATTCTTCAAAGTATGTTCTTAGAACAGGTACAGTATACCTTTAGCCTCGTTTATTAGACATCTTACCGGAATATGGAACGTCTCAGCAATATATCTGAAAAGTAGACAGACAAGTGTACTATTTGTTTGTTCAAACAAATGTAAATGCAGTTCATGATAAATAAAATAGCATTTTTCCTTTCAAGGCGCGAAAAGCATTTAGAGGGGGTTATCTCTTTAGAGTGGCGAGACAAGCACTCGACATTGTCTCATCTCTTCCCGCGTTCACCGCACGCCCTACAGGAAGCAAGTAAACTTGACAAAAGTGGTGTTTGAAGAAACAGTTTTTCGATTTATCTTGTGCCACGATTAGTTTCATCATACATTTGACTGTTCATGGCAGGCCTACAGTTTTTCTAAATGGAAAAGAGGATGATGCGGCAAAACATGTTTCATGTACGGGCGTAGGAAAAGACTGGCAAACATGCTACTAGTATCAAGAGTGCGAAAAGATCCCCAAGGGCAAAGTCGAGGCAAGCTCCACTACTTGCCCCTGATCGGCAAAAGTCACATTTTGCTTTGTCTGCTAGGTAAGAACGTGTGGAGCGCCCGTATTAAATGGAGGCTCGTAAATTCTTTCCACGCTATTTGTGAAAATCTATTCTACTACCTACAGAGTACATGAGATGATTTTAGTGCAAAGCATACATATTTGAAATAGTTGTCCAAGAAAAGTCTCCTTACTTTAAAATGGCCGCTTCTTTGGAAAGAAGCGCTGTTCTTTCGTTCAAGTTTCTGAACAGCCTGCTGTCAAATTCTTTCCTTACAAGCGAAGCGACGGAGTCCAGGATGACGAGCTTTACACGTTTAGAAATAACCTCCTCTTCAAGTCTCTGAAGCCTAGTGAAACAATTCCGAGCGATAATTAAATGCTTTGTCTGTTTCACCCGGTATACCTTGAGATTTTGTCAACCAAGGTCTTTTCTCTTCCTCCCTCAATGGAGGAAGAGAGAGACGACCCTGTCTGATTTTTGTGAGTCCAGCGGTTTCCTTAATTCATGTTATAGCTAGCATTGGAAGGGGAAATGAGACTGACATGCTTGGCTTCCCGGACTGGCGTAGTACACCCATCCCACCCCACCCTGGATTGTGCATTTAGACTAATTTGTTCCTTTAAAATCAAAATTCTTTGTTGTCACCATTAGGCCAAATCATTTATTGACTAAACTTCTTTAATCAAGATGGCTGAATGTCACAATCATTCTTTTCTTCACTTAGTGGGCCTGGCCTTTGTCTTGTTCTAAGAAAATGCTTATTAACCATTTACACATAGCCCTAAAAGAGACTGGCTTCTAATTTCTCATTCCAGTATCATCCTTACATCAAATATAAAGGTCATGACATTGAAGGAAATGATCACCAATTTATGTAGCCCCTGATTGTCAAACAAATTCTCCTAATCAGTACCATAGGGAATGTAAAGAGAACAGTATGGAGAATATAAATACTAATGTTAGGGTGTAAAGGGTTATATGAACACTTTTCTTTTTAATAACTGTTCCCCCTTGTATCTTGATTTTTTATTGCCATCAAGATTTAATTTCAGTTGCATTTTCTTCTTACCTGTTTCCTTTAGCATTTTAGTTTTGGTGCTCAGTAGTTTAATAAATACATAAAGAAATATATATCATGATATGAGACCTTGAATGAATAATCATGAAAAGGACCAGTCAATAACATTACATCAAATATCTTACCTATCCCATAATGAGCTACAGGTAGATTCCCAGCACACATGTATCCTCTCTGACAGATGAAACAGTGACTCATTTGAGTTGAAAAGATCTGAAAACCGACTGGATGCCATTTCAATCAATCTATAAAGCAGATGTCAGTGAAATTTGTAAAAAACTGCAAACAAAAATAAAAATCAGGCTTCTATCTCTAAGGTTACCCCATGCTGGACACAACCTGGTTGCCAAACATCAGATGACACTAAACTATTGTGGCTAAGCTTTATGAGGTATGAGGGTGAGGCATAACTTGCAGCACAAAACAGGACTTAGGCCTGTTTATGCTACCTTGAGCCTTTAACTCTTAAGCTGGGGTCAGAGTTGTCCCTGGAACCTTGTTAATTATATGTGATAAAATAGAGACCTCACACAGGACAACCAACCTTGTTGCACTGAAGGCTGCCTCTGTGTCAATGTAGATAACACTGCCATCCAGTCCACCTCTGTCATAAGGTAGGGTGGCCAGCACACTAAGCATGATACAGAACTGTGTTTTACCACATCCTGCTGGGCCTGCTATCTATGTTTCATTAAAAAAAAAAAAGACAATGAGATTAAGACTCGCAGATAAGTCAAAATCACCCTTAATAGCTTGACTGCAATCTTAATCTGTTTATATAAAATAATTCTGTCAAAATAAGATGATATTTTTCTGTGATAATACAAAAATGACTGGCAGTAGCAGGACAAGAGTCAGAAATACGTTTTATTCCTTTGTGATCAGCTTGCTACATCCAAAACAAGTGTATTTTGCAAATTTACAATTTTTAAGTTACACCGGAAGCAACAATATGGTGTGTGAGCAAAAAACTATTTGTCTCTTGCAATTAACCTCTACACTTTGCAAACCACGCAGAAACACAGCAGTTCTGAATCATTTCATTTTATTCATTATTGAAAAATAATTCTTCTGGTCTTTCTCACACTAAAGGAAAATCAGATAACTGTGCCTATGCTGTGACTTTGGAGCAATCATTTGATATACTCTCCTAGAGTAGGTAGTCAGGAAAATGAATATTATCATATTGCCTTGATTTAACTTCAAATTCTCATGACCAGTCAACAAAGAAGTGTATGCTTACCAGGAAGGAGAAAAAACTTTTAGATCTTGGGAATAAAAGGGAAAAAAGAAGGAAGTATAGAGCTTACTTCTGTGATTGTACCACAACTCAGCCCTCCGTGCAGTGCCAAATCAAGATCACCAAGTGAAGTTGGAAGAAATGATTTCTGACTGTTTGATCTTTGAAAAAAGGCAAGGGCCTAACCACAAAATATACAGCTATATCATAAATCAACATTATCATCCAATTTTTGCAGCTAGAAAGCATTAGCATTCAATTTAAAATAGATGGAAGCCGTGAAAGGATTGCAAACAGTGCCCAAAAACCTATGAATAATATCTTTCACAAACTTGAATGTGGAAATGTCCGCAACCAACCCCCCTCTCCCCCCACAGAAAAGTCAAACATGCTTGCTTGCTAATTGTGTCATGGTAACTGTAACTTTAACAGAAGTGGTTTGCTGTGATTAAGTACTATGGAGATTATTTTGGATACAGTAAATCAAGTGTTGTTACCCTAAGGTTCATATCATTAACTGTCTTAACATGACTTCAATGGTGTCCAAATATTTTGCATAACCCAGCACTTTGTACAGAGAAATCAGTACTTACTGTTTGCACCTTGGGAATGATGGCTTTACCAACAGCTCTCTGAATTTCTAAAACTTCTTGATAACTTGATCCAGTAAACTTGAGAAGTTCCAAGTGGTTTCTCTGAAGCAAATCCTGTACAATATCAGCAAAAATAAGAAACATGGAGATCAGTCAGAAATCAAACCTGTATTTAAGTGTAGGATATTAGTGCAGGAGCTTGACTAATTGTTTGGTTCCTTACTTATTCATTTACATGGGTCTCTGAGCAATTAGAAACAAGGTAAACAACTGCAAATGCAAGCCATACTCAATAAGATGCATTTGCAAGGCCGTTTGTTTGTGCACTTTTGCATGTAAAAAGCCTAATTATACTAATCACGCATATACACGACTGTAAACTCAACTCTTACATACACATTGTCCACAGCTGAATCATTAAGAGAATCAAGGAAAAGAAAAGGGAGCACTTTTTCGAGGGGAAGGGGGTGCTTATTTGAGGGGGAGGGGGTGCTTCTTTGAGGGAAAAAGGGAATTTATTTGAGGGGAAAGGGTTCTTATTTGAGGGGTAGGGAGGAGCCTTCGCAAAGGGAAGGGGGCACTTTTTCAACGGGAGGGGGGTGCTAATTTTTTATCATTGCAAATTTTTGTCAACAGTAGGGACGCGGATTCAAGCATTTACGATAGGCTTAAAAAAAAGTCTGAGTCTTACCGCTTCCGCTCTCATTTATTCACAGACCTTTTAACAAAGGAGTTAGCTAACCTTGCAAGTGACTATCTGATGCTTTGCTAGTCTTTCCACCACCTCGGATCGTATTCCAGGAACACGCCGCAACCTTTTGGATGACATCTTTGGGTATGAAGCATGACGAGGTTCAGACGTTGATGGTTACAAATTCCATGGTTTCAGATTATTCCACAATCACTCTGAGAAACAGCGATTTAGATTTGATTTGATGAAGCACAGGCTGCACTTACAGCCGCCATCTCAAGACCTTGACATCCAAGCCTCCAGGAGAGGTTACCTAGTAAGAAAATTAAAAACAAAACAAAACAGACAAAACCTCTTGAAAACAAACACTTGTTGCGTTAGTTGCGTCTCATTTGATTTCGGCTTGATTTGTTTAATGCAACAGGATAAAGTTTAACGTGAATGTTTCAGTGCTGTGAAAGTCTCCAAGAACTTTGTCGTCGAGAGCTGATTCGTTCCGTGGGAAGTAGAAAGCTTCTTCAAAGGCTGCCTCTTCCCCGAAACGTCATCGAATGGCTGAAGGAGTACGATGAACCTGCTGCATTCGACCCCAACAGTAGCTCCGATGAAGTGGTTTTCTCCAACAATAACGAAACCATCACTTTTACTGGTTAGTTTAACGCTGAATAAAGGGCCACTTTTAACCGTCTACCGAACGAGTCAGCTCGTTTGCCTCGTTTGTTCCTTTGTTAACACTACCGAACCAAACGTGCCAGACGACTCACTAAATATATCAGGACGTTACAAATCGATAATTTCGATGCTCGATGGAATCGATTGTAATCGATAATTTTCGATACTGATTAATCGATTGAAATCGAAAATCAATAAAGGTCGATAGCGGAGGTACAATATGTGATCATCGATTTTCGACCAAAACATTGTTTGGAATGATAGTTTGATTTTAAGCAATTTCCATCGATTTATATCGAAAACATGGATTTCGTCAGAGGAATCAAGGCAAAGAAGAAGACAGAGACTAAAGCAAGGAACAAATGACTGATGGATATCCAAAGGCAGAAAAAAGAAACAGGAATTTGTATCTGTTCTTGATATTTTTACTTTTACATCAAGACAAAAACCCTTACTCAATTCTTAGTTGATTTGATGTCATTTGTTCTCTTGGCCGAGTAAATCAACATTATGGATAATCTGGGACCAAATCTTATGATTATCGACATTTATTATATGTAGCTAATGGTTAACAGTTATGGAATAATACTGAGTAATTGATTAATTTCCAATGATCGATTTCTATTGATTTGTAACGACCTGAATATATAGACCCAATTAAGACTTGCATATTTATTATTCCTTGTTCTTTCATTCATTGCTGGGCCAAAGGAACCACTAACATGATATGTAAATTCATTATTCCTCATTCTTTTATCCACTGATATGGGAAACAGGCCACTGAATAATTATGTGCTCCTTCAAAAGTGGCTCTGTATTGTGTAATTGCTCCAGTCTTAATGAAAATGTCAGCCTAGATCTTGAGACTTGAGATTTGGACTGCAGAATGATTGAGAGAAGTTTAATTATGCAATCTGATTGTAATAAATGATCAATTGAAATCTCAATACCTTCATGATCAACATTAGGGGTGATCATGAGGTAATTACTCTACTCATGAGCAATTTTTGATAACCCTTCATGTGATAAAGTTGAAAATATTAGTTTTTATTTCTTGTTAGTGTTGTACTCTTAAAACTGGAAATTGCAGAAATATTCCCAGCAGAACTCTTAGTGATCTCAATTAGCAAAAAATCTGTTTCAGTCTGCAAAATTGAAAAAAAAAAAGTCAATCTGCAAATTGTAGACTGTGTTAAACCTTTGCAAAGTCTTATTGTTGTATAGTGCCATGTTTAAGCTCAAAGGTACTCCATTTGTGTACTTCTCATGACAATTGTTTCCTTCCAATAAATTTGACACTTTGATTCTATTGTTTCTTCTTTTCTTCCAGGAAATGGCTACAGCACAACTTTGATTCTTACCCCCGGTGGTCATGGTTACACTTCTGGTAAACATGAGTGGGTGTTCTACTTTAACAATTGCCGAGGCCAAGTGGCAGTTTGTCTTGTAACAGCAGAATTTAAGAAGGCCAGAGCATTCAGAACAATGCCAGCGATTGGCAGAAAAATAGGCTGGGCTTACAATCAAATTGGGTTTCTAACCTTTGATGTTCCTATCTGGGAAGCTATGGATGGAAAGCGAAATGAAAGCTACCACACCTGGGATATGATAGGAATTATTCTTGATTTAGATAAAGGAACACTTGGTTTTATGAAGAATGGAAAGGAACTGGGGGTAGCTTTTTCAAAAGGGTTGCGTGGCAAAGAGGTATTCCCAGGAGTTTGCTTATGCTCTGGAGAGGAACAAGTCACCTTTGTAACCAGTAGAACCTATGTGTGAAAGCGTTGGAGCAGTTTTGAATCAATATTAAACCATCAAAACAAAAATGATCACAATGGTTTATTGTTACAACCTAATAATAATCCAGAGTAAAAACACATAACGAGCTTTCACCTGACTAAAACCAATGAAGACCCACATTAGTTGAATATTCCTCCAAGGCCTTTATGTGCATCTTAGCACAACCTTGTCACATGAATTTTGTGAGACTCAGTTATTTTGATTAATTAATTTCTGAAGTGGTGTTTTGAAAGAAGTTTCCATAAAATTTGTTGATAGAAGAAATAGGAAAACATTTTGTGCACAAGTTAACAAAGACTTCCACTCATGAAATTAAACTGAAAAATAATATTTATTGATGGAGTAAGTCTACCTCGACAGAGCCTTTATATGAATTGTGTTCCTTCCTCACAAGCAGTTTAATTAAATTGATTAGCTGACATAGTGACCAAGTTAACCTTTTGACCCTCAGAAGCAATTCACGTAAAACTTCTCATTATATTTCTAATAATTTATCTTGCAAAATCTTGGTAATGAGAACAGACAAGCTAATCAGCTACTTAGTGTTATCTCAATCCAGTACCAAGCTCTCCTGTCTAATATACAAAGAAATGTATAGCAGCCAGTAGGGAGAATTTTTAAGTGGATCTTGGGAGTTAGAGGATTGAGCCAAAGAAGCAGGCATTCATTAGCCTCTACAAATTTAACTTTTTGCTGGAAGGAATTCAACAAGCAATCCCACAAAAATTGACTTAAAGATCAATAATATGGAAGGATTTTAAATTTGCTCATTCCAAAGATGGTAAACAGTATTACTGTAATCAATAATGTATTATTCATTAATTTTAAAATAAAGCATTACTTTCTCCTTGACTTGAAGTTTCTGTACCACTTTTAACCCTCTGAGTGAAAAAATCACCCAGCAACTAACACTAACAGTTCTGAAAATTTCATTGGATTGCCCTATTCTTGACTGGCCTGCTGCCAGAAGAATTGATCACACTATTAAATAAGAGATAGGTGAAAGTAAGAACATATTGTTGCATCATTCTTTCAGCCACCACTGGCTGCTCTACCAGAAGACCAACAATTTTCCATTGTTTGTTTTCCACTGAAATATGCCTCAAAAAGTTATACCCTGGTTAACCAAGTATTTTGACGATGTTTTGTGTGGAATATACAGTAGCAGAAGGGAGGTCAACTAGGGAGATCCCAAATTAACATCTGCCCAGGGTCATAAATAAGAACTGGCAAAACCCACTCATTAATCTGCCTTCTTTTGCCAGCTACTTTAACTTAACCCTAAGAGTGACTAGCATGTAATTTCTCCATACAGTGTCACCCCAGAATATCACATAAAGGTCATGAGAATAAAAGCAATGATCTCCAACTGAAGAAGCTCATTTGTTAAACAAATTCACCTTGTCAGCACCTCAGGAAAGGTTAATTTACCATATGTACTGATAAAAAATGCACCATTACTGAAATACCTACCAAGAAATTTGTACAGGAGCCACTTCCAGGATTTGAGTGAAATTGAGCATTTGAGCATAATTCACCAGCAACAGTTTAAATGAGCAAAATGATTCCACATTTAGAATTATCCACTTGGTTTGGGCAAACTTTGTGGAATCCTTGGTGCCTTTGAACCCAAAACATGTAGTCCCCAGTCTTGTATGTAATTGGATGAAACAATATGGCATTCACAATAACCAGGCCCCCTTCTTTTTCTTGTTTCCCCCTTTACGTGTACATTCCAACATACATGCATTGACAGGACAGATGTGTCTCAACCACGGAGCATTTCCTTGACCTCTATGGAAATTTAAAGTATTACTGGATTTATGGAGGTATACAATCAATGTCAGTATTCGACCAATCTAGCCCTCCCCTAACCAAACAAAAGTCAATTGATAGCAAGCTGGGGCTAATGATGGGTTAGGGGAGGGGTGGATCCACAATTGATCAGATATTGGCGTTGATCTGAGATATCCTAGTGCCGTTACTAAGCTATTTCAATTGGTTAGTATCAAGTTATATGTGTCCATAATTTTTCCTACATGTATCACTAAGTCCAAATGTCTTCGAGGTATTGCTTGTTTTCGCGCAGCTTCATCATTTCCTTGCGTGCCTCAGCTATGTCTACCCCTTTGTACTCTTGAGTAATCTCCAGAAAAGCATCAAAAACATTTTTGGCCATGTTGTCTGCATCTCCACAAACATAAACCACTGCTTGTTTGTTAAACAGTTGTTCAGCTACTTCAGTGGCATGGCTTCTCAAGTTGTCTTGAACATATTTTGGTGTTGGTTTACTGGACAAATCATCAACTGTATCACGAGAGAAGGAGAGGAAGAGGTGTGACAAAACACCAGTAGACAAGTAACATTCAAGTTCCTTACGGTACAGGTAATCTTTTTCCTTATGACGACAGCCAAAGAAGAGCCATGATTCTCCAAGAGGCTCTTGGTCATTAGAGGCCTTTAAGATGAGTTCCCTGTGCTGCAGAAAGCCTATAAAAGGTGCTACCCCTGTGCCAGGACCAATCATAATGATAGGTGTGTTAGGAGCACTTGGCAGTTTGAAGTGGAGATTTTTGCGCTGGAACACTGGAACTTTTGGTCTATCTTTCACTAACAACTGAGACAGGTCAACATCAAATTCCTTGTTACTACCAATTAAAACTTCCCCCAGACTTTTTGTGGTAGAAGCCAACCATCCAGTACAAACACCTTGTCTTTGGCCCCTTACACCTTCCAAGGCTGGAAATTCCACAATGTTGAAAACAAAGTGAAGACCATTGGGATTTTCCAAAGGTGAGCTTGACACTGAGTAAGGACGTGCTTTCAAGCGGGGCAAAAGTTCTAATAGCCTTTCAAATGGAGGCTTGCATGATGGAAAGGTGTTGAGTAAGTCCAGCAAAGACAAGTAAGGTTCTCTGACAAACTTGGTGTAATCACCTGTGCCTTGTTTGCTGCAAAGTTCTTGGAGTCTCCTCTTCTCTTGTGGATCAGCTGTGTGCTCTGCCATAACCCTTACAAGAGCTTTGCTTGGAACACTTCTGATTTCCAGGCATGTTAGCAGAGTATACTTAATGGTGGAGTACTCAGGTATGTAGTTTGGAACACATGCTGCCTTTTTGGTTGAAGATGGAATTAACTGAATGGAGAATGGAATACCTGCTTTCTCACTCAAATCCAACCTTGATATCAGTTCATCAACTTCATCCTTGGGGTTTGGACAAACAATACCAAAAGAGTCCCCAGGTTTGTAGTTCATGTTACAGTCTGTGATATCCAGTTCTATATCCAAAGCTGTCTTTATTGAGTGACTTTCTGTCAGCTGCCTTGCTGAAACAACTGTTGCCATGGAGACTTCAGTTACAGCACTTGGAAAGCTTGCACCAGCTTGTACAGGTAATGTAGAGCAGTCCCATTTGTAATCAGGATGGAAGCTTACCTGTAAATAAGCTGGTGATAATTGTGGTATGGACAAGGCAGAAGTTGACAAGGGGGGCAAAGACTGTTTTAACTGATCACTTAAGGTGGGTGTTGAGGTATGCTCACCGTTGCATGCAACTGGGCCATCATTATCTATGGCTGGTAAATTCTGATCACCAGGAGGTTTTGCTTTAACCACTGCTATTGATGCAGCATTGGTAAGACTCCTTCCACCTAGTTGGTCACAGCTGTGACTATTTGTAACAACAACAACTGAATCTGTCTCATGCAAACCACCATTACTAGTGTTCTCTAAGACTGAGTCAGCTAAAACCTTTAAAGATTTACTTTGAGTGAGGGGTTGTTCTGGTGAATCAATCACAGGAACTTTTGCCTCAACATCAGACATGCCACCATTCTGTGTCTCCAGACCCAACTGCTTTCTCAGTGCAGACCATAGTCCTTCCATCCATGGTTCCACTACCAACTCCAAACCAACTGCATCATCAGCATAACCAGTGTCGTAGAAGTGCTGTGCCCCTAACTCCAGTAATCTCTTGTCAAGGTTTTTACCGTTGTTACAGAAATTTGTGTAATTGGTGTCCCCAAGCGCGAGTAAGGCGTAACGACAATTTTCTAAATGGTTACTGGGCAAAGTCTTCTTCTTCAGTCTTCTAAAAAACTTACACATGGTATCTGGAGGATCCCCCTCTCCTGTTGTTGACACTACAAACACCACAAGGGTTTCTTTCTCTAGGTTAAACTTCTTCTCCGTTAGACTGAGACAGAAAAGGTTCGAATCCAGGCCATGTTGTTCAGAGAATTCATGGATTTCTTCGGCAATTGCTTTCGCTTGACCCGTCTGAGAACCGTACAGGATGGTAAATTTGTTTGCTAATGAACTGCTTACAGGCATATTCACCGACCAGATCTCTGCGCTTTTTAGCAGTTTAGAACCAAGACGAAGAATGTTGGATAGAAATTACTAGTCAACCACACATATTTCGGCGTGATCCCAAAGTGTTACATCATCATTTTTCCGTGAAATCGTGAAATCCCTTCACGCATTGGGCTACCATTCCGCTGACAAGGAGCTAAAAGGACCCTGGGCTCGAAAAAGTCAGAGTACAACAGCTCTTCCAATTGGTTGTTTTAACTTATCCAATTGGAATCTCTGTAAGAACTCTGATTTATTTGTGTCACGTGATTAATGTCTTCGAGAGAGTTATGGCGGAAGGTTAGAGGTGTTGAGGAAAACGGAAGTCGTAGTTGGCCTTCGATGAATTTTATTAGTTTGCAAGAAGGGTATGGAAAGGACCTCTATCACGCCAGATCAGCTATTAAGGATATTCAATGAAGCGCCTTCGTCAAACGTATCGGTAAGTAAAATATTAGAGACAACTGTTTAAAACTAATGTTTTAAACTAATGTTTTAAACTAAACTACGTATATTGAGGAACAAAGACCAATACGCTGCAGGAGTTCATTTCTGTTGAAGTGAGGGTTAGTTTGTGTTATCTGACGATTGTCAATCGTGGAACTCAAAATCATACACTTAAGTTTTTAGGTAGTCTAAATATTTTTCGCAATAACGGAAAAGTGGTGTGACATGTTATATTTTTAGCTCAAATCAGCAATAGCCTATTTGCGAAGCTCCAACTGAACGATTTTAATTTATTTTTGAACATGACTAGTTTTTCTGCGTGATCTAAAAACTTCATTGTTTCTTAAATTAGCCTGTTGAGTGATTACATGAACGATACATGTATATTCTATGGGTGGCTTAGTTCTGGATAATATTGGGTTCTGACATGATTAATAGTGGTTGATAACCCTTCGATTTTGTATTATGTAAAGTCTGAGACAGTAACTTTCATTTTCTTACTGTCGCGCAACACTGAAAATTATTCATATTTAAATGGAAATATGTGAATTGCAAGTTTTTACAGGAGTAGAAAATTCCATTGCTTTGAAGTAATATACATGTGATCTAATAGAAGTCAATCAGTTATTCAAGCAATGAATTATTTAGTTAGGTGATCAGGCGGAATTTACAATTGTTATTATTGAAAACCGCAATTTAGCAGTAGTTTTAAACAAGTTTATCCCAAACTGAAAATGCTTGGCCTCAGCCATTCTTGTGCTTAATGTGAGATAATCCATACAGCTGAAAAATAACTTAATATTTATTTTTTATTTGTATTGTTATTTAAAAAAGAGCTAAAACCAGGTTACATCCTCTCTTTTCATTGCATAGTTTATTGTGCTATCCTGAGGTTTAAAGGCTGTTTGGTTTGTTAGATGTTTGAGTGTACGCTGTTTGTTGTAGGAAGAATGAAAGTTATTTTACCTCTTTTTCATAAGGGAGGAAACTTTGACAACTGATTTCCTTTTCAAACTACAAATTATTTTTTGAAGTTCACACAATAGAAAATCCTTAAAAATAGCATTACAACATTTACTGTTGTTTGTAGTTTAGTAAACAGAGATGTGCTCAATGTCAGTTTCTCTATCTTTAGATTCCTTTTTGTAGGAATGCATTGATTTTTTAGTTCAAGTTGGATTATTCTGATTAACATTGGAAATACAATAATAAATAGGGTTAGTCGGTTATACATGTCAGTGACAATAATTGCCACCTGCTCTACTCACAGAAACATTGTCCTTAAGCACCAACTGCTAGCAAAATCCACCTATTAAAAAAGGGGTGATCACTGGCTGGATTTTCGGCTAGCTATCGTTGGTTAGCAAATTTTATTTTTGAGCTACCTTACTTGAAATTTCAGCTGATAGCCTAATTCAAGCCTACTATAGCTTGCTACAAAGCTTAGAAATTCTTCACAAGACTTAACTTTAGAATGAATCATACTGCTCATACTTTTACATCATCTACACTCAAGCTACTGTACTAAAGAAATCGCTACAAGTATGTGAGCAAACTATAACACCTTACTTGACATGATTTCTTTGGTGATCTTTATAACACATGTAGTTGCAATAAAAATTGAGTGTCTGGCAATTCCACTGAGCTTTGTATCACAGATAAACAGATATATGTACAGATTAAAGAGATATTGACAATGGCTAGATGACACTGTTGGTACTAGTGAACAAAATCATGTCATTTCATCATATCATCATATCATATCATATCAGTATCTATATAATAAAATGGAATATTAAATAATGAGGAGTTGGTCATAATTCCACTTAAAGTTAATTGTGGTCATCTATTGATTATTAACCATTTAATTCCCATGAGTGACCAAAACAGAATTTCTCCCTACAATAACTATATGATATCAAGTAGACAAGTGAAGAGAATAAAGAAGAATATAAATTAGGGGATTTTTAGTTCATCTGCTTTCAAAGTCTCCAAACTTACATAATAAGAATTGTATGGCAGACTGTAAGGAAAATTGTTAGTAAGATCTTGGGAGTCAAAGTGTTAAGTTTTTTTTTTTTTTTTTGAAGAACTATCCCTAAATTTACTATGTATCATGGAAAAGACGTAGCCTTTTTGGAAAGTTAAAATCAATATCAATCTCACTATCTGAAAGAAGAGCAAACTTTGACTCTAAATGCAGACTAGCTTTTCTAGCTTAGGTCAGAAATACATTTGGTGTACATTGGGCAGACAAGAGAAATAAGATTGACAAAATTATAAAGAATTTGTGAATAATAATATGTATGCAGGCGGCTTAAAAATTATATCAGACCACTAGCTTATTTGGCAGCCAAAACAACATTTCTGAACATTCTAAATATTCATTTTAATTGCATTGTGAACACAAGGAAATAAAGAGAGGATATATACTGGGGTAATGTTTGTTTTAGAGATTTTTTGCTTCTGTTGAGTTAAAATTTAAGTCCATTCTTCTTCTTCAAGTGTTTTTTCAAAAGTAAGAAAATATTGTAATGGTGTCAATTTTAACTTTTCATAATCTTGACACTGGGTGACCTTGAATTCCTCAGAGACTAATCAACACCTTTCCTGCAGGTAGAAGGGTGTGCGGTCTTGTTTGGATTGTCTGAGTTTGTTATCTCTGATTTCCTTTGCAAGTTTTTTTAATTCCTTTTTCGGTCACATGCCAAGTGTATGAAAAACACCAAAAATACCTACATGTATGTGTTGGTTTTGGCAGTAATGAAGATTATAATCCTAGGACATTACAATGCAATTTTACAAAGATGTATAATGTAGAAACTGTGCATTATTTTCAAAACAAATTTCTGCTGTTCATGAGCAAGAAATTAAGGGTTTTGATGACCTCTTTCCTGGGTTACTCTTGTCAGAGATGCGCAGCACAGTGTTTAGGTGTTATTTGTGTGATGTTGGGGAATGCTGTGAGGTAAGCAGTGATAAATAACACTGGTATCTCAGTGTGCAAATAAATTTAATTTGTCAGAATGAGTCAGGAGGATATTGGCCTATTGTGCTTTAAGTCTGTTTTCTGATGATTTGAGTGCCATATGGACAGTGTACACTGTGTGTATTTCATTATCATTGATGTGTTAAGGAACCTGTTTCTGCAAGTAGAAATGATACAATAATATTGCATCATATTACTAGTCTAATCATTTTTATCTCTTTAATCTCAAGTAATCCTGATAATTAGTGACAAGAGATTTTAACAAGAAGTTAATACAATTAATGTTACTTGAAACATTGTCTATTGATACATATTCCCTACTAATACAGAAACTGCCACTCATAATTCTCTCATGCATTAATATTGCTGAACACTGTGAGAAGTAGCAGTAGTTCACAAGTACCAAAATAATAACTTGCATTCATTCAATATTTTTTTGTTTCAATTAAATAAATACATGTTAATTCCATATTTTCTTAATCAAATTAGAAAGACTACCAGACACAAAATGATATTTTTTGGAAAGCAGACAGCAGTTTTTTAATTTAATTGGCTGGCCTGGTCAAGGATCATAGGAAAATAATTTATTTCTAATTATTTCAGTTGGGAGTTCAAAGAAAAAAAACTCTTCATGGCTTAGAAAACACATCAACAGGCAACAAATATAATGGAAAGCAATATGTTTGGTTTACATTAAGTTGAAGAGGATTAACGTTTCTGGAAAAAAGGAATCTTTATTTTTTTATGTTTAAGATGCTCAAAATGTAACTGAGGCTCACTGTGTTTAATCCTTGATGTAGTTTGCACTTTGTTCTCTTCTTTCAGCCTTCCAAGATCTGTGGTCAAGAAAAATTTTACACCCATCCACCTTTGCTACCTGGAGAGCAGATTATTTCACAGCAGGATCATGTAACATGTGTGGACACCTTTGATGATATTACAGAAGGAGTACTCCACATCACCACCTACAGAGTTATTTTTGCTGGTTCTCATATGAAGGTAGACACATTTTTTTGAGGGAGCATTTCTCATCATTATAAAAAAGTAGCTAATGTTGTATGGAAAAAACTATTGATAATTCATTCATAGAGGAAAGAGAAATCCTGATAAGGGTTTTTAGTGGTTATTGTAGGTGGAACAGAGTGGAGAAAGAGGAATATACACGTAGCATCTCATTTCTTATTTCTTTGCTTGTTGTCATGCAAGTGGACATTCATGAGTGATGAGTATCAAATAAGTTTATGCTCTGGCAAGCTTGTTCAATAATACATTTTAACCCTTTAACTCTCAAGATATCATTAGAAATTCTCCCTATCATGTACCATATTATTTTTATTGTATTAGTTTGGAGAATTTGGTATTGGATCAATTAATAATCACATAATTGATCTTTTTTTTTATTCTTATCACTCTTCAGCTTGATATTGTATTGATGTTGTTAGGAGAAATTCTTTCTTGGTCACTTACAGGAGTTAAAGGGTTAAGTTAGTATATCATGGAGCAGTAGTATGAGCTGCAAAAGGAAACATCTTAAAGCTTTCCACAAAATAACGAAACTTCCTAAGGCTTTTCACAAAGACTACAAATTGCACTTTCCCTATGGGCTTGTGCAATTTTGTTGTCTTTGAAAAATTTGCTTATGCTTGTTTACACCATTCTTGAGAAATCATTTTATTACCCATACCAATGAAAACCAGGGTTTCAATGGAAGCTGGTTACAGCTAGTGTAGCACTGCATTTAAGACCTCTCACCATCTTCAGTTTAGCCTGTGAGCAGCCTCTCATGTTTGGGTTTTGTCTTACGGCATAGCTGCCTCATACACCATCTAAAACTACTTATAAAGAAGTTATTGAAATCCCTGTAGGGCTATTAGTTTTAGTGTCACTGAAACCATAAGAAATTAATCAAAGACGTGTTGTGGCTACTGTAATGAGCCAACTACCCTATGATACTGAATTCAGCATGTAATTCTTCTAATTTGTACTCTCACATCTTGGAAGTACAGGACATACATAAAGACTGTTGGTTTGAAGGTGACATTTGACCTTCTCCTTGGTCACGGGACACCAGTTAATGTGCAAGTTTAGATCTACTAGTTTTCAAACCATAACTTAGGCTGGATTTGAGTAGCCTTTGTTTGGTTTTGACTGTCTGTTTAAATTGGCTAAAGTGGACCATAAAAGATATATAAGATAGATTTGTTTATGATAATGTATGTTGTTAGTTGTTGTGAGAAACAATTTTAAGCTTCCAACATTTTTTTTTGTTGCAGCATGGCCTAGATGAACATGAGTTTGTTGATGCTGATCCTGAGGAAGTGGCAAGGAGAGGGCATCACTTTCAAACAAGCTCTAGGAAGGCCTCTCCTAGCCACTCTAAATGTCACGCAATCAGGAGTTTTGAAGCAACTCACCCAAGGAAACCAAATAAAAGGTGTGGTGTAATGTAGCATCTTGGTCATTAAATAGATGTGGGAGGCATGATGACCTACTGTTTAGTGCATTGGATTGTGGTTTGAGAGGTCTGGGTTTGATTGGGTCTGACCAGGTTACTTGTGTTGTGTTCTTGGGAAAAAGTAACACATAACTTTCACAGTGCCCCTCCACTCAGGAGTTATAAATGGGTACCAGCAAATTGTCAGGGAAGCTTGGGGGTAACTGTGTAATAAACTAGCATCCCATCTGGGAAAGAGTACTGTAGTAATACTCCTAGTCAGTAAAAACTACTATCTAATGGAAACAGGGACAAGCTCTAGCTGAATGGGCCACAAGTCTCCAGTACATACATTTTTTTTAATTGCATGGAAAGAAAAGCAGACAGTGGTAAACTAATTGAATTCATGAGTTGTCATTTTTACATTGATTCCAGGTTGGATTGAATACAGAGTGTTGATTTTTATGTGTTCTTACTCTGAGGCTGCCCTCATTGTTGTTGTTTTTTTTTAAGGTTGAGTGCTCATAATATTTCTAAGAAAATAAAATCAGGTGGCGTGAGAAGAGGACTGCGGCACAGCCAGTCAATGAAAGGGAAGAACCATGCAGTGGCTACTCTTCCAGGTGTTTGTGAACAGAGTGTCAAATTACAAACCCTGAGGCCAATAATTCTGTCAAATATTGAACATATTGGTGAGTACAACAACTGTTACTCTCTAAAATTTTGCTAGTTAACCCTTTAACTCACAAGGTCAGATTGACAATTTTCCCTTTTTGCTGCTACACATATCCATGTGAACTAGTTGCAAGAATTTGGTGTTAGATCAAGATAAACAACTTCTGCCTGATATGTTTGAGTGTTCTCGTTACCTGTTTTCTGGATACAGTATAGATATTATAGGGAGAAGTTACATGTTAGTCACTTCTGGGATTTAAAGGGTTTAGAGGCAGGTAACAAAAGTCCATTAGAGTCTTTTAGATTCTGTGTGATTGTTTTGTGCTGACCTTACTTGATCTTTAGTACATTTAACATTACTATCAAAGAAAACAATAATTGCTGTGTATCGAAATTCAAAATAAATTACTGTAGGAGACAGGGTGGGTTAATGGTCAGTGCACTGGACTCTGGGTTAAGAGGTTTGGGTTCAAGACCTAGCCAGGTCAATGTGTTATGTTCTTGGGCAGTTCTTCATGCAGTCAAAATTTGTCACTTCCAACTTTTACAAGGGAGCATTGTAACAGTAATAGTTGTGTCAAGTGTGTTTACACTGTCACTACAGTTGTGAACTCTCCTTTTTGTTTCCCAGGGTCACCCGTGTACAAAAGCCTGGGGTTATTACATACAGTTGTACAGTGTGATCAGATGATGTCACCTTGTGCTTATTGTGGCTAACAGCTTTTTGCATTTTCTCTTTTTATTTTTATCAAACAGATCATAGTTATGAAGTGGAAGTGTCCATTCCTCTTTCAAGCATTTTTGACATTAAGAAGTTCTCCAAGAAGAACTTGCCAAAAGACAAACAAATGTTTTTGTTGGATGGATTTGAAATTTTCTGTAGCAACATCCAATCACATAGGGTAAGTGCATTGTATTCTAGCTGTAACTCACTGGGAAAAATGATCCTTGCAGCTCTTACTATGTGCTTGGTTAGCTCACATTGAAGAGCACCAGGCTGCAGTGGGGGAGGTTGAGGGTTTCAGCCTTAGAATGGACCAACACTCAGGATCTTAAATTAACTGAGGAGAATGTACTGCCTTTGCTAGGATATGTGCAAATGGTTAATCATTGTTACAGTAATCTTCTTGGATAAGGACAATAAACTATAGGTCCTGTCTCCTACATCCTCTCAGTACTGGTTAACAAAGTAGGGACCATACAGCATGTAGCTCCTGGTATCGTGGTCTGGCCTTGTTATTGTTAATAAAAGCCCCCATTTAAACCACCTTTTAAGCTGAACCAGGTCAGTGTGTCAAATTATAGCAAATTACAGCAAGTTCATACACACACTACAGGGATACATACCTACTACAGTAATTATCTTAAGCTTTTGTATCAATTGACTACAGCATAAGTTGTATATGGAACTTGTTTAAACATGTACATATATTTTATTTTCAACTCAGAGTCTAATATATTGTGCTTTTTTAGTTCTGTCCAGGTCTTATGACCACAATTGATGCAGAGGCTGTTATGAAAATCATTCTCCAAACTTCAAAAATAGTAAGTGGTAATTTGTGTACCAACTGATTTTAAGGAGCTCCTTCCGATACATTCCCTGGCCTTTTCAAGAAGCACACTTGTTTCAATAAGTGTCTCAATAACATGTCTCTTAATTGCAAGACCACCAGGAAGTTTGATGTTTGAGTAGTACTGGTGTACCAGTGTACCAGTACAACATCACTTTCTTACACAGAAGGAGATACATGTAGCTCTAAGTTATCTTATCTGCTCTTTCCAAGAAGTAGCACAACTTCTTTAAAGAGACTATCTCTTCCTCTAACTTTTGGTCTGTTTTTAATTGGCTCTTTGATGAAATTAGTATCTCCGCCTTGAAGCTGAATTGTTATGATCAGGTATCACTTAAAGCATTTACAATGTTTTAAGAATGCAGGAATGCAGTCAGTGACAAAAGAGTTGAAGCAATTGAAAGTATCTTAATAAGCACCTCAAAATAATTTTACTTTTCATTATTATTTCAGAATTTTATTATTCATTATTGCGATACTAACACCTCCCTTTCAAACAGTTGTGGATTTTCTTTTAATTGTTTTAAAGTGACCAAGAGGGAAAGTGGTTGTTCCCAGTTTTAAGCAAACTTAAGATGATTCCTCAGACAAAAAAAGTTATCAAAGGTTTTTTAAAACTTTTCATATTAAAAATGTTCCCTACCAAAGTCTGTTTTGAAAACTACAATAAAAAAGTGGGTTTCTGTGCTTGCTCTAAACTGATTGCAGGCATGCCTATTCACCTGATTTTTGATATTTTTTATGTGCGACACAGGTTGCTCAGTGTGATACTAAGGAATCACCTTAAAATGAACTAATAACAATCTTTAAACATCCTCTGCTAGAGCATGGTATTATGTAACGGTAGTTTTTCCATTTCTTGCAGGATTTTTCTAAGTTATTTGCCTTTACTTATAAAAGCTCCATCATTCTGCCTACGTCATGTACTATTTTGGACAGTAAAGATGCTCCCAACTTCTATAAGTTTGAAGGTAAATGGACTGTTTTCATATCCATCATTTCCTAATAAAAGTAATCACCCCACAAATCCTCATAGGTTTGATTTTATCCCCCACATTTTAACTGCCACGGGTGACCAAGACTGAATATCTCCTTACAATACCAATACAATATCAAGCAGCCAAATGATGATAATAAAGAGAAATATCAATCAGGGGATTATTAGTTGACCCAGTATTCCCCACACTAACATCATAAGAATTGTATGGCAGACGGTAAGGAGAATTACCTTTTAGATCTTGGGTGTGACAAGGCTAAAGAATATGGGACTTTTAACTTTTAGATTTTCAAAGGAGGCGTTGCAGTCAGTGTTGGATGCGACATTAAAATGGGACTCATGATAAGAATCATTGCCAAATTGTTTTCATGACTATGAGAGCTTTCTTTGCATGGAATTCATTTAAGACTTTCGAAGATGACGGAAATAAACATACAGAACACAAATTTCCTATACACCATTAATTAATTAAGTTCGCATTTTAGAAAGTATTATGTGTTGTAATTTTTTGCAGTTGAGTGTGACCGACTCAAGTTATTCCATACTGGAAACTGGCAAATTCACAGTGAGTACACGTCCAAAAGAATTTCCTTGTGTACTCTTCATGTAACTACTAAAATAAATACCTCGTTTATCTACCACTTTCTAGTAAATAAGGCTAAATTTATTTATAACGAAATTTTTAGTTATAAATTTAGTTTTAAAACCTCTTATTCTTGTTCCAGAAGGAACACGGCCTTTACACTATCCAGCAAAAGTGGTTGTGCCGATTTCAGTGACAAAGGAGGAGTTAACTGAAATAGCTGACGTTCACAGGTAGATAATTGATGGTCGGCAGTGTATTTAATTAGATTGGCTGTTCATGCAACTGCTCTTGATGGCAAACTTGGCTTGAATCCTGGAATTTCTAGGACCAGGAGTAATTTTTCCGTTATCTCAAAGTTTTTATTTCTTCTTGCAGAGGAGAAGGATGTTTCCCAGTAGTTTGCTGGAGACATATCAATTGCGGTGCAGTCATGTTAAGGTCTCCTGCAGCATTGTTCAGAAGGTACGAACAGTGGTATTTGATTGACACATGCTCATTTGACATGTGTCATTAGTTAACATTTCGCTTCTTACAATATCAACACATCTTATCCAACAAACTGGTGATACATAACTGATGTACAAGAAATGTGCAGGAACTTGAAGAGAGAATTACAGATCAAATCTTGGGAGTTTCCGGGTTGTAAGGTCTGGGCATTGAGATGTTGCCTTTCTGTGAGAGGAATCCTTTAGATCGTCAGTGTAAAGTGAAATGTTGGAACATTGATTAATGTAAGGGACTGTCGATGTATCCTTAAATTGTTTCATTCAAAGGAAATAGTGTATCCTCAGGGAACTGAGGAAGACGGTTTGGAGATTGCGTTCGGGAGGAGCCTCAGTTTTTAGCGTTTTGAAGTAAATGTTGCAGAAAAAATATCTGTAGCACGTCCTAGAAAAAAGATCTCTTGGCTTTTGCTTCAAGTTACTAATTTTGTTCGAATTGTTTCTTGCAGAGGCCTTAAAGACTCGCGTTGCCCAGCAGATGAGAAGTATCTTGTAACAGTCAGCGCACTTAGTGAAGCTGCTACAGAAAAACTGGTTGTTTTCACTGAACAGTACGTAAAATTGTAGATGAAGAGTAATCAAATGACTTTGATTGCTCTAATTCGAAACTGTGAAGAGCCAAAAAGGAAATATTAATTTAAAAAATTAAATGTTATTGTCTCCTCCTGAGCCTTGTGGTTTCCGCAATTTGTTTTTCTAAATGGCGGCGCCCGTAATCGAATTTTTAATTTGTTGGTAACCGATGTTGTCTTCTGCTTTAGAATAAGACAGTCAGGAGGAGGGTTACTGAACTCTTCTCAACAAGTGACTCAAATGACAGGACAGCTCACTCCACAGGAAGGCGAGAGTAAGTCATCTCCCCCTGATGTAACACTTAAACTGCAGATCTAAAATGACCTCTGCACACTTAATATTATATGCAGCAAAGAAGGGGATGGTACTCTGATTTTAAAAAATGAACAACATTCATGTGATAATTTGTTTGGGTCAATTTCTGTTTGGTGTGAATTGACATTTCCATGGCATCCAAATTTTATTGGTAATTTTACAAGAAGATGTTTGTTTTCAATGGTGATTTTGTACTCAAATCGCTACATTCTCGTCGTCTTATACTATTTCTGATTTTAATACAAATTTCACGTATTGTTATATTTATTACAGCTTCAGTTGTAACCCTAAGTAAGCAAAAAACGTCTGATTATGAGAGGGTTACTCAGAAGTTAACGCAGACATCAAATAATAATTTTTTTTTGCGTTCTCTTGTCTCAGCTTTCTATTATCCTAACATCAAGTTTATGTATGCTGAGGGAATACCAGATGTCAAATCTGTGAAGCAGAGTGCGTACAAACTTCAAGCAGTTCTCGCAAACAGAAGGTGAGAATGTTGAGTGTTTGCTCCTTGTCAGTTTCTATGTCTGTTGTTTTTCCAATTCCTATTGTTTTTCCCTTTCGCTCTGACAAAGGGCTGACGCTCGATATGTGAGCTTCAGAATCTATCTACGGTGGCCAGTTCGCATCATCAACTCAGTTGATAAAACCGAATTATCTTGTTGGTTTTTCTGGTTTTAATGGAGCTCTTTTTGATCCAGCGTCGTAAAACTAAAACCAAAGTGATCATAACGGGAAATAAGAACAAAGGAAAGTATCATATGGTGAGAGGTTAAAGCAATACATTTAACCTTCCTTTAGCGCGGGAAAGCGGTCAAGTCACAATGGGTTGTGTTTTTGTGTGAAATCCATCCATGTTACTGCATTTTACGTCACTCTAATGCATTACTTTGACCCTCCAGTGATGACAGTAAATGGCTTTCTGCGCTGGATGATTGTGATTGGTTGATGCAAGTCAGCGAGCTGCTCAAAACAGCCACTCACATTTCAGTTGCTATGGATTGTGACAAGTCATCTGTCATGATCAGTTATGAAGACGGAATGGACAGAACAGCTCAGGTGTGTTTTCAATGACAGGCGCTAATCTTCATGTTTTGAGTCAATTTTCTGCCATTTGGAAACTAGACTAAGTTTAAAAATAGTCTGCTATTATGGATAAACAGTAAAGACGTTATAGTAGATTAAAACAATGACGAGAATTGTGGAAGATGGCGAAGATTTTCATGTTATAAATGGCGATTTTGCTAAATTCAGGCAAAAGTTCCCAAAAGTAATGCAACTCCTCTTAGGCTCAGATAATCCAAGTTGGAGTTACAAATGAACGCAAATGAATGTGTGCCTGTGTTTGCGTTGACCTGCAGTTATCTGAATGTGCATTGACTGACACTGTCAGGGTTTTTTTCTGTTTATTTTATACCAATATACTTAAATCCACCATCGGTTCTCTTGTGTTGCATCCCACTACATTTCAGAAGCAACTTTTCATTAAATTATGCGCACCCAGCGAGTGAATAGAGACAAAATTTCAAGCTTAGCCACCTAAAACAAATTTGGTCTCTTGTCAAAGACGTCCAATCATTTTGTAGATCACTTTCTCCGGGGCCGTCATATCAGATGCATTATTGCCCTTTGGTGACAATTCTACATCAATTTTCGTTACAAAATGAGAAAACAGTTTGGTTTTTTTCCACTTAATTTTGTTGTGGTATTTTCTCCTCGCTCACTCTATGGAAATTGAAAATAACGTTGGTTATATTCAGTGGTTCATATTATTTATTGGGTTATCGTTTGTCAGGTGACAAGTCTTTCTCAGTTGTTGCTGGATCCTTTTTATAGGACAGTGGCTGGCTTTCAGGTTTGTTCGCCGTCCTTACCTTGTCTCTACTAAGTTATTCAACCCTAAACAGTAGCTTTTTTACTGTTCAAATAAATTTTTCATATACGGCAAGTGTAATTGCTCCTCTTCTATATTCCTGTGAATTAGCCTTTCTAGCCTCGACAAAACGTTTAAAAACAATGGAATTTTCTCTCAAAAGCGATGCTAAGAGGGCTTATGCCCATATGCGTGACGTTTTTGTTTTGCACAAGAACACGACACAATAACTATAGCTGGTACTTGAAACCAGACTTTTCCAGCAAGTTAACCACCAGATCATCAAATCTCATCCAATTTTGTCAAATCTGCTTGCAAACTTCAACTTATTCACATTTTGTTAGGTGTAACTCACTTCTGATTTGTCTCCTTTTATCCAGATCTTGATTCAAAAGGAATGGTTATCATTTGGTCACAAATTTTACTCCCGTACCATGTCCCCGCAGGCTCATGATGATTACAGTCCGGTGTTTCTTCAATGGTTGGACTGTGTTTGGCAGGTAAAGTGGCCGATGGTGGCATGATATATTGCACTTATTTAAGTCACTCCTTACGACCTGAAAACAGACAAAAAAAGGTATAAGGGAGCTTGGATTGGTCAACCTGGAGTTTAAGTAGAGTTGATTGGTCAAGAAAGCCATGCGATTTCTTCGCTATGTGACCCGACCCATGCCTCTCTCCTCTTTTTCCCTCCGCTGCAACTAGCACGCCAATTACTATCACGCTCCGTTTTCCAAACTGGAACAGACTGATAAAAAACGACGATTCTGTCTTTGCAGGTCCTTCAACAGTTTCCATTCTCGTTCGAGTTTAACAGCCTTTTACTTGAGGTAAGATGTAAGGCACTGTACGTTAATCGTCGTTATTGTGGAATGCGTTTTTCTCTTGCTATCATCGCGACCTTCGTGTGCTCTTATCGTGAGGGTCAAGCTGCAAATTGGCACTTGTTCTTTAACTCCCATCAGTGGCCAAGTCAGAATTTCTTCTTACAATACCAAGTTCGGATATAACGCGCGGTGTCA